CTAAGAAGAGTAGACAGGTGTGTTAAGATTCATTCATATCCTGATCTTAATACAACCCAAAACATATTTCACAACTGTTGGCATAATTTAACATGACTGTATAAAATAATGTGGAATGTTTCATTTTTTAGCTACCTTTTTTTTCTTGCCTTCTCCCAGACTTCTTTCAATGCACTTCTTTGTCCTTTCCATCTGTTTCTCCCTCTCCAGTCTTAGTTTTTCCTCTCGGAGCCTGGATTGAGAGAAAACAAAGAAGAAGATAGGGGGTTTCCATGTGGCAAGCCCGAGCAACACATTTGAAACAAACTGTTCTATTTACAGCAGCAGTTAATAACCAAGCCAATATTTTAAGATCCAATAGCATGGGCCTTACTACAGTATTAAGACAGACTGTAGTTAATATGTTACAGGTGATTTTTTTCAGTCAACAAGACAAACCTGCTTTTCCTCTCAGCGTCCTTGATTTGCCACAGTTCCTTGAATATTTCTTCAGGGATAGCCTCGATTTGCTGAACCAGCAAAGATATGCGGTACTCAATGCTGCACAACTGCTCCAAGGTGTTCAGATGGGTAAACCGGGAGTCAGTGCAGGAGGCATGTACCTTTGTCACCTTCTTCCCTAGAGCAGCCAACATGATATCCTGTGAGCACAGAGATAGTTGAAAGTTCAGGAAATGAATTGCTCACTAATGACTTTGTATGTGTAGCGCTTCCTGCTTGCTTACCTGGTCCTGTGTTCTTAATAGGTCATGGAGCTGAACCTTCTTTTTGAGCATGTCAGCCCTGCTTCTTTCTCTTCCAACTCTGTCCATCATGTCTTTTACTTGAAACATTAGCTTTTTTTCGTCCTCCATCCTTCCATGACGCATATAAAAATGTAACATTTTATTTTATAAGTCTATCAACTGTACTGTGTTCTGATCTTACAAGGTTGTCGTTTATCTGTGTTCTGACTGACATATTAAAAAGATTTCCCCATTTTTTCTGTTTTGTAATAACTTTAGCAGGAATAAGTAATGATGAAACATTAACTGTAAAGGAACAAGAAATGTACATGTACAATGTACAATTAATAACATTTACAGGAATAAGTAATGATACTGACATTTTTTCCATGGTGAATTCAATGGTTTTTTCTAGGTCCTTATCCATCTCTGTGGCATTGTGAACAAGTGACAGGATTTGATCTGTCAGCTCAGACAACAAAACTACAACCTGTGTAGGATCAGAGTAGTATATTCCCAGCTGCAAAAAAAGGGGACACACTGTGATCAAACATGTGGACAAAGACATGTTTGTGACCTTTGAAATTAGACTGAACTCAGTCTGACCTCATCCCCATCACCGTAATTATCCAAAGTAGAATTTTTGACCCTGAAAGAGATCAGGATAAAAGGAAATTAATATGTCCATCCATCCATCCATCCACATCCAGCAGCATGCGTTTGAGATAGTAAAATATATTAAAAATGTTAACCTGAACCAAAGCGTTATCAGGGCTACACAATATGCTTTATACACAATGGATGATTGACCATTTATCTTATCTCAGAAAAAAAAGAAAGAGCTACAATAATATGTGTTTTTTCTTAAACAAAGAAGACCATTTGTCAACTATTTGTTGAAGCAATTTCCTACTATTAATTCAAATGAATCCTATATGATTTGAGAATGGTTGAGTGTGGTGTATTCTCACTCTGTGTTGTTGGGGGTAGAGGACAGTGTTGACTCTGAAGTTAAAGACACTTCTTTTTCTGGACCTATGTAAACATTTACAATTATCGTTAATAAAATAATTTACTCTCAAAGTTCAGGATGCACCAATTTCAATTAAATGGATTAGTAGGGTTATATGCTGTTTTAACTGATCATTCAAAAGACTGGGACATCCAATGATCCAGTTTGTTTTCAATTCTGTAAATTGATGTTGTCACACCGGCCTTTAACACCTACTGTTGCTAGCTGCAAGTTCCTTGGGCTCAGAAATCTCCTCCTTCTGTACAATTTTAGCTGTTAAAGCCTCTGCATCTTGGGCCTCCAGCCATTCGTAAGGCGACAGCTTTAACAATATGGACTTGTACCACTTATATCTATGTTGGACATCCTCTATCTTGTTGAGTTCACTGTGAAGAAGAAATTTCCATTTTGGATTCATATAACATGTTAGGGGGTATTCAAGGAAATCACCAATGACTGGGACATAAAAGGTTTCTCTCCTCTTTGTTAGTACTTATCATCTTACCTTTTTAATGTCCGTGTTTCTTCAAATAACCTCTCGATCATAACACTGGTCTCCAATTTGTCCTTGACTGCTTTTTCTAAACTGTCATTTGAGACAAGAATTTTTGCAAGTCTTAGGAATGAATGTCAAAGCCAGTGCTTAGGCATTTCAAACAATACTTACAGTTCTTCAGCGTCCTTAGGTTTCCTTCTCATCTTTATTAGGTACTCGTTCAACACTTGGCGTTCCCCTTCCCCGAAATTTTGAAGCGCGCACATTTGTTGTTCCTTTATATTTATTCTTTCATCAAGCTTCATGAGCTCTAACTTTTTGTCTTTTATGTATATCTAAGAATACAACAATAAAAATAAAGGTAGCATGACAAATACAGAGAGAGGTTTAAAGCCAGAGATGGCATAGAGATAAAGAAAATACTTCAATGTCAAGAATTGCTTGCCTTGCTTTAATCTATCTATCTATCTATCTGTATATTTATATATAACATATTTTTTAAAAATTCTTCACTATTACAGAATCACCATTGTGTCCACGTTACATATTCCACCTTGCTTGTTCAGTATCAGTGCCAGACATCTAAGATTCTAGCACTTTTTTCCCCGTCTTTAATTTACCTGTTGAGTCGCTTTCTTCTGTTCGATGGTTAGGATTTTCTGTCTGTTTATCTTATAAGATTCTAAGAAGAAAAAACAATCAAACAGATTTTCTAAATATATTAAGGTGTGAAATTGTTCTCAGCTTTCTTCGCTGTTTCCACCTACCTTGCTCAGTTCTCAGTTTCACCTTACTGGCTTGTAAATCTTCAGGATCAAGTGTGTTTTCTGCCATCTTTTCCATCATTAATGCTGTTGTGGGGTATGCTCAGATTTTGTCAGACCTACATGCATAACAAATGGGAAAAAAAACTAAATACATTGTGTATGAGTCATTAACAAACATAATACAGACGTGTTTATTCCAAACTACGGCTTATTGTTGACATCTTCTGTCAAACTGGCTTTTGTGGTGGCAAGTTCAAAATTAAGGTTGACATAAGTTTCATATCTTCTTAGTCCTTTGGAAAAAAATCTAAGATGATTCTTAAAAAATAAATTAGGAATTGTTTAAAATAAAGCTATAATGTCAAAGAAAGCCAATGTATCATTGGCTTAAAACATCTAGCCTGAACTAGCATGTTGATTAGCCTTAAACTGTCAAATTGTATCAAGTTTTAGAAGGCCAAATTTAATTTAAAAATGCTTTAACTTTGAACACACTTCCTAAACATTGACATCTGATATAAAAAAAAAAGTCCAACAAACAATCTGACCTTACTTTTTACCTTCCTTGAATATCTAGCACAGCCAGGATAAAGTCAAACTTTAAATTGTTGTCATGGTAACAGCAGTTCTCTTTCTCTCGCCAGTTACAGAATTCAGGTAATAAGAATGCAAATGAATGTGTTTATCTCTCAATCACCCAATGACTTAAACCTAAAATCTTAGATATGGACTGTATACAACCAAAGAAGAAAAAATCCTCCAATGTTATTAGTGTTGTTTCAGTTAAGTCAAACAGGGCAAGATAAAGATTAACTTTTGTCTTTATGGGAGTTCTCATCATGAACCACATATGTTCCATCCTGCGCACACACTGATGCATTGTAAAACATTTTTTCTCTTTGGACCATAGAACTTTTTTCGCTTTTTTTTCTTCTTTCTGGCAGCTCTCTCATTGGTTTCATCTTAATTATATCTTATCTTAATGATATCTTATGGGCAATCTATGCAGTGTGGCTTTGCAGGCAGGATTACCTTTGATCGACCTTAATTGTGTTTTCATGCTTCATGTTTATTGTTGCTTTTATGTTTTAAAACCTTAAAGATAAAGATGTTCTTCAGTGGGATTTTTTCAAATCAACCTAGACCTTGTCAAGATCAACAAATAGCATTTATACAAAAAAATGAAGGTTGTCTATAAACCCATGCCCAATGCAGCGTTTTTATCTATTTGATTTTTTCATGGAATGCTGCGTATAAAGATTTAAGCCAGCATATCTGGGTTACACCGCTACCTCCCCCTGTCCAGATTGTGCCATCTGTGAGGGACGCAGAGCAAACATATGTGTGCTGGTGGAGAGCTTTCGGATCAAATTGTGAGTGTCTCATTTCATTATTAATCCAGGTCGTCCCAACTGAGATGACAGCAGACCAGTGTAAGGCATATGCAGGTTATCTGAGACAGGGGCTGGGAAAAACCAATAAAGATCATCATGACAAATGCACATTTCAAAATGTTCAAAAATGCGTGTGACACTTGCTGAAGCTATAGTTATTTGCAACATCAAATATTTGCGAAATTTTATTATTTTTTGTCCAAAAATAAACTTTTTTATGCCTCAGTTATCAGTATCAAACAGCCAGTTTAGTACTTGGGCTGCTCCTCAGACTAAAGATTGAATAAGTTAATGATAATTTATTTGTTTAGACAATCAAAACATCAGAAAACATCAGAAAACAATCAAGTACATTTTTAGGGACTAATGTAACTGTAGTTTGGACCGCAAAAAAGTTGCCTTTTTTTAACCAAAATAATTGAAGTAGCTAATAGTTTCTTCCCCACAAAAAAAATAATCTAATTCACCCTGAAATAAAAACAATGAATGTCAAAAGGTCAGCTTTAACAACAGTGATTGGACGCCAGGAGTAAATCTGCTGGCTAAATCCCTTCATGGCTCAGAATGTGATTTGAGGCAGGGATTTGTTTTCAGTCAATTGCACTGCGCAAACATGACTGTCAATGTTCAACTCTGTAGACTGCGGCAGCTCATCAAATAGGGTCTGTAATTTGGAGTAAACGGCTTGGACTGGAATTTAACAATTCTTTCTTTGCGTGCTGACGTGAAAGGAAGACATATGTGGAACTAACTGACAAACAGAGCCAGCAGGAAGTCTATTCCAGAGTAGACACGACCGTATGACCGTCCACCGGGGACAGCTGGTAGGCAAAATATGTAACTGTATGGCTGAGTGCCATTAGTTTAAATAAGAACAATGCTGCCTATGACTAATTCAAATGTTGTCAAGAAAAACTATTTAAGTGGCTTAATAATTGCATGTTTGGATCATGCAGAGGGCTACAATGGTGAGAAGGTTCCTGGTTTGAGTCCCACTGGGGCCTTTCTAGAGATTGCATGCTCTGCCCATATACGTGTGGGTTCTCTCCTGGTATTTTGGATTTCTCCCGCCGATCAAAAGCTTAAAATTAGGGCTGTCAATCGATTAAAAAAATTAATCTAATTAATTACATACTCTGTAATTAATTAATCTAAATTAATCGCATATAATTTTTTCTGTAAAAGTATTTTAAATATTTCATTTAAAATGATCAGATGAATAGTCAGCATTAGATACATTAAAGTTAAAAAACTATTTTATTCACTTGTCATGCCTTCAGACGTTTAACGTGTCGTTGTGGCATATGTGGCACTGAGTAACGTAGGGGGCAGAATGAAAATAAATTAACGTGCTCATATGGAAGCTTTCTCGCTGCAATGGTCATGTTTGGGGCGCTGTCTGTGCCGACTGTGGTGATCTTTGGTTGAACTCCCCATACCTCCGCCACGGACAAAAACTGCTGGGCGCAGGCATCGGCGTAAAGCCTGGTCTCTGTTTTTAGCAACGCTAACGCAAACGACTCGAATGAAACTGGTCTGCAAGACTTTGCGATCCATTTAGCAAGGGAATTGCAGATTTGCTTAGTTTCCGTTTCGGTGTTTGCTCCAGTGTGGTTTGATGATGAGGTTGACAGCTAAAGCTTCTATGACAGGACGTGCTGGGTCGTGGTCCTACCTGCGGGTTAACTCCTGGATGCTTTGCACTGATGTGGTACTTAAGAGTTGACGGAGTCCGGTGGTAAACGAATTTGCGGATTGCAGATGACTTTACTTTTGTCAACACTTCCGTCAGGCCGTTTTTATAAATAAATGATGAAATCAATGACCCAGGCAGCGCGTTCTCGTCTCCCTCTTTCATTTTAGAGTCTAATCAAAGATTCAACCGTCTCTGGTCTAATGGTGACTTACGAGAACGATTCAGGGTCAAAGGTCAATACGACATTGATTAATTTGCGTTATTTTTTTTAATCCGTTATTTTTTCTAAAATTAATTAATCGAAATTAACGCGTTATTTTGACAGCCCTACTTAAAATATAAATTAGTAAGGGTTCTATGTGTATATTCCGGGTGCATAAGAGTGTGCATTGGTTGTTTTTTACTATGTCGGCCCTGTGATGAACTGGCTGTCTCAGTTGCAGACAAATGCCAAATGGATCCATATGGAGCTAAAGATAGTTTGCATTCAAATTCTAAATTGTCAGCACATGGAACAAATGAGCAGCTGAACATGGGAGGAATCAGCCAAAGAGCGAGAATGCAAATTTAACTTTTCTAAAATGTTAATAATTGAAGATCAAGGAGCCTGCATGTGTAATCTTGTATTATGGCTCATATTTGTTAATAATGCTGAAATGTTGTTCGTGAGAATTCCTCGCTGTGAGTAAAGTTGCTACATACTTCCTGCTTTTGTTTGATGATAAATAACTAAAGCAGGCATACAAAAATTAGCATCAGTAAGTCTCGTCTTATTGTCATGGACAAAATTGCATGTTGAATCCACTTTGAGAGGTGGTGATATATTTAGTAAAAGTGTGTGATATATAACACAGAGCAAACATGAGGTTCCCTTTTCATATTGTTGGTCAAAGTTTTACCTTTCTGTTGTGAAGAACCAAACCAAACCAGATAAAAGTGTCAATAATAAATTGAAATAATTCATATGAAAACATCATGTTTTATTCTATTGCCTGTGTTCATTTTTATCCGTTAGATCTGGATATATTTTTCACAGAATTATCTGCTCTTCCATCTTTTTATTGCATAACAAAGATGATAATATTTGTACTTTCTATCACCTTCATGCACATGTCAGGGCACTTTCTGATTGTCATTGCTATATATAGTTTTATGAATGGAGATTAAGCTGCTGATCATTATCCTCTTCTGGTTGCAGTGTCCAGTGAGCTGGCAGCTGTGTCTTCTCCTCCACATAAGTGTGACTGTCAAGATGTGAGAAGGGGTCATGCCTCTGGTCAAGAGAAACATTGAGCCGCGGCACTTGTGCCATGGGGCCGTTCCTGATGGGATTGGCAGCGAGCTGGAATGTGTAACCAACAACACACTGTCCGCCATCATTCTTCAGCTCAGTAGTCTCAGTAAGACCACGTTTGCTCAATCATATTGCTCAGATACCCTTTTAACCTGATACCAGTGTAAGAGGGCAACATGTTTGAGAAGTTCTATGTCATGAAATATTTAGAAATGGTTCCTAGAAGTGATAATTAAATTATTTTTAATATTGTGGGCAAATGTGCAATGTTCCTCTCCAGTCACACAAGAAGCAGTCATCATAAGTCACAGGAGCTTGATAGTATATTGCACTAACTGGTCTCATCCCAGAGATACACAATTTTTAACATTTGCACTTGTGGCTGATTTGAAAGAACAAAATTAACTAAGATTCATTCTTATGGACTGTAGTAAGAAGAAAATTGCTCCATAAGGGAACACACACCAACTTAGGGAAAACTGTAAAGAAAATAATTCAGCTGACTAACACATTCAAATCCTCATATCGGTCTCAGTAAATCAGTGATTTCAGATCAGGTTGGACAAAAATCCTGCATAAATTAAGTTACTCACTAAAGTCATGGATAAAGTCCCTGCTGTTGAAGTAACAGGCCAGCTAGCATGATCAATTTATTCATGATATTTTTTGCTGGGTAGTTACCACCAAATATGTACAATCTTTCATGATCTTTTTATGAGATAATAAAGATATATACAATCTCACTATACATTATTATTGTACATTGGGACATCACTGCAAAAAGGCAAATTCACAACATAATTATGTATGTAGTGAGTCCTGAGTTTAGACTTGCTGTGGACTTAGAGGTGTATCCATTCAGTTCTGGCAACGTCGTTGATTTCTTAATCCTCTTAAGGCCTTTACATCTTAAAGAGTCACTTCATTATTATGATATCGTTCTGTTGGAAACTCAGTCCCTGGTTTGAATGTTTCATTTGCTGTGTTCTCTGTAGAAGATAGCATACCTTTGTGTTCCTTTTGCGAAGGTGTTGCTCTGGAATGCAGGAAACTGGGAGTAAAATGTGGAGATATTTTCTCCTGAACATCTGGCCCATGGAGTACAGTCACATGCATTAACCTACACTCTCTTACGAGTGTACGTTAATGCATGTAAGAGAGTGGGAATTTACATGCTTGAGGATTTGGTGAAGTAACAGGGGCTTAGAGCTTACCATAAAGCTTCCTACAACAGGCACATAAGACGAAGAGTAGGTGGGCGGAGACACAGACACAGGCAGTCTAATGATAGCTTTCACATTAAGTGGATCTGAGCCGTTGAAACATTTTGTGGAGCAAGCAAGGACTTTTAATACAAGAGTATAATCCAGTGCCATAATCTAGAAAATGCACATAATAGATCACATCAGAAATTAGTGAATTAGCTTCGTAATATATGCAATAGAGTTTACCTTTTTTCATTTCCATTCCCTCATATTTTGCAGTATAAGGCATCATTCTCTACTTCTTAATTTGCCTTTGAGATCTGGCATGTTCAGCATTTTCTATTTGCTTCTGGTTGCAGGTAAGCATGCAGAAAATGTTTTTGGGGAGCTTTTTAATGAGGCCAACACCTTTTATGTGCGTGCAAACTCTCTCCAGGACCGTATCGACCGCTTGGCAGTCAAAGTAACCCAGCTGGACTCCACTGTGGATGAGGGTTAGCCCACTCGGAAACCAACTGTCTATAGTCTACCCCATTTAGCCACGTGTACTTTAAATGAACCTCCTGTCTTCCTGCTCCACAGCTTCTCTTCAGGATATAAATATGAGAAAAGCATTCAGAAGCTCTACTATCCAAGACCAGGAGGTGTTGTCTAAGAGCAGCACTCCCAATTCGGTGGCCGACATGTTCAACACCTGTGACAGGCCTCCTCCTCTCACTGCCCTCACCGCTTACAGGTCTTTTACATTTTTTCAGTCGAGCACCTTGGCATTTTACATGTTCAGTTTGTGCAACATTTCGCTAAATATCTTCATGAATACAGAGACGACTCACTCGACGCAATGAAATTTTACTCGGACCCCTCATACTTTTTCGACCTGTGGAAAGAGAAGATGCTTCAGGATACTGAAGACAAGAGGAAAGAAAGGCGAAGGCAAAGAGTGAGAGCATAGCCTGTTTACTTGTTTTTTTGAGTTAATGTATTGACTCTTGGGTTGCTTGTTCATCCGTTGCCTCTCCATCCTCCCCGTTCAGGAGCAGAAGCGATGTGTGGACAGCAGCACGCTTCAACGCGAAGTTAGGAAAGTGAGAAAGGCTCGCAACCGCAGGCAAGAGTGGAAAATCATGGCTTTTGATAAAGAGCTTCGTCCAGATCATCACCATCCACAGACTCTTCGGCGGGGGGCATCATCAGAGGGATCACTCTCTCCAGATGGCAGGTCAGTGCTTCATTGTTCTTCTCTCTTTTTTTTTATTAAAAAAAGGTAAAAAACAAAAGATTTTTAATTGGCAAAGGTTACAGTTGTTTTCTTGACTTTGAAAGGTTTTTAGACTATAAGTGTGTTTTTATTTTCAAATGCCTCTGACAAGGTTTTTTTTTAATCATGGTTTTACTGAGTAAAGTTCACATTTGAGGAAACATCATGCTGAATTCTTTCATTTAAAGGACCTGAAAAATATCTCAAATAACCCTTCATGGTCAGTTTCAAGGCACTGTATATATCATGTCCTGCATTTTTATCAATGTTGTGTAAAGGCTCTGGTTAAATTTTCTGGTTGTATGAGAATAGGCCTATGTTTGTTTGTCCAGACCTGACCTCTTGGACTACCCAGTTCCTCCAGTACCTACCCTGGCAGCATGTAATTATTCCAAGCCTCATGATTATGTCCCTGGAAACGCACACCCTTCACCACCAGTGGAGCATGAATACCACAGCATCGATGTCAACTACAAGAGGGTAACCTATGCCACAGCGGAGCCTCCAGCTGCAGAGAGGATGAACAGTTCTGTCCTTCTCCCTACAGACTACAAGTATGTGCATTAGTCATTTCCATAATCAGAATGACCCATTCAAATATCATCTAGTTGTATTAAATTTGTTTTCCAATATAATCCTCATTGTTTTTACCATCACAGCGTGATCCCTCCACCTCCCCCACCGGGCCCATCCATTCCTTCAGCACAGACAGCCTTTGGTTTCCCTCTACCACCAGTCCCACATAATGGGGTTTTACACATCGGCCCAGGGTATCCTCTCCCACCTGTACCTCCGCTGGGACCTCGCATGGTCCCTCCTCCTCCAGGTCCCCCACCACCTCCCTTCCCTCCCCCACCTGGACCTTCCCACTTGCATGGACAGAGCGACAGCGGCAGAACAGAAACTAAACCTGTGAGAGATGTGAGGAGTGACTTGCTGTCTGCAATTCGCATGGGTGAGTTGGGGCATCTATACAGCTGGGAAACACTTTCATGTGAATCTGTTTCTTTGACAGCATTTAAATGAGTCCAAGAGCAGCAGAAATATAACATTCAACCTAATTTACCCTGTTTACTCCATCATTAGGCATCCAGCTAAAGAAGGTTCAAGAGCAGCAAGAACAGCAGAACAAACGGGAGCCAGTGGGGAATGACGTGGCCACCATCTTATCCCGACGCATTGCAGTTGAATACAGCGACTCTGAGGATGATTCTGAGCTAGACGAGAACGAATGGTCAGACTGACCAAGCGTCAAATCAGAGAGATCGGATCAGAATGCAGTTGTTTGTTTGTTTTTTTAGATTCATTGTACACTCAGTAAGTGTGTCTAACCAAGTCGTCTTCCATGCTTTGAATTACCTATTTTCCTTAACCTAATCCCAAGGATGTACTTGTTCAGATAATGTGTCTGCCTTGAAAATACTTTACCTACGAGCAGCTGCAATCCAGACATAAAGCTTTTTTTCACAGAAACTGTCATATAGTCATGGCCAAATCGATCGCTGGAACAGACCTAAGCCTTTGTTAAATGTTAATTTAAGCACTTCCTGTGATTTTCCTATTAGGACAGGTTTTTGTCACTGTTCAGTTTAAATGAAGTCAAACAGAGGTGATAGATCTATTTCAACTGTTCAACTGTCTTGTCATGTGTTGTGGTGTCTTTTAAAAAGCTGACAGATTTCATTCTTAAAACCTTCCCTGTGATTGTCTGGAACTTTTGAAAAAATATTCTCTGGATACATAACTTCTTAAGAATGTAGCCCAAACTATTCATGCAGAAGTTAAAATCAGCTGTGGATGTATTGTTGAATTACCTATATTTCTTTCACTCATCATGCACAGCCGTTTCTGTGAATTTGAAGGTATTTGCTCCAGCCTTACCAAAGTTACTTGCGGGAACAGGTTTATTTCAGCCTCACTTGATCTCACTCTGTAATAGATTTTAATAAAGGAAAAGTTTTCTTACCTTTTTACTGACTCCTTTTGTCTCTTGTCCTCGTCAGAGTCCTGACAGGTGACACACAAGGAGAAGAAAACACAGAATAAGAAATAAATAGCAGGGGCATCCGATCTTAAAGTTACATGCTCTTCACAATCAGTTGTTTTTAAGGTATTTACAGTCAGGTATATAAATGAGAGTAACTCTTGTGTAAGTGTAACACGCATAATATAAGACATAACAGATATAGCACATACACATTCAACACGGTTACATCAGGTTCAAAATGTTGTTTTATATTGCACTTTGCTCCAATATTGGGTATTCTTGTTGAAAACTACTGGAACTAACTTACTGATAAAACATTAAGATATAGTTTGCATTCGTAGCAATATAATTGTAACTTTTCATTCAAATTTGTAATTATTTTTGCTTTTTTTAGATTTACGAATCCTACATTTCATAAACCTTCAGTGAAGGAAGTCAGTAAATGCATGAAGGATTTGAGTGATAATTTATTGATAATATAGACTGATATTAGAATGTCTTCTGTGTTTGACGAGGCCTTTAGTAAGTGATCAAAGATGGTGCCATGGTATTTGTATTCCTCGACTAACTTCACTCCACTCCCGTGGCTTTTGGTGTTGACTGCAGCGAAATTGATAGCGTCTGCGTACAAAACCTCTTCCACACGAATACCTGACTTAAACCACCAGAGGTCAGTGTTAGGCTTAGTGGAGGTTTGTCGAACAGCAAAACCGTAGCGTCCAGGAAACTGGTGACCGGCGGACGCCATGTTGGATCCGCTCAGCGGTGACTGCGTCACAGCGGAGGACGCCTGGTAGAGCCAAAATGTGGATAGTTTCTTCCCGTGACTGTCCTGTGCTTGGCAGGTGATAAGTACAGAGTAGCTCCTCCTCAGTCTGCTACGGTAGCGCAAACCTGGACAACTGCAATAAAGTAGCAGGTAAGATATTGTTATCAGGGATTTGGGGTTTGTAGTCTTTCATAGGTTTTGCCCAAACTCAGCCACAGAATATGTAAAGACAAGTCGATGTCTGTTTTTTTACCAGTATGTTGCGATGCGGATTGCTAGCATTTGCTAGCTTATCACCTGACTTAACGCGCACACGCACAAATCAGCTTTGCTCCCAACGTTACTACTAAATGACAAACATAATGCTGCCATCTGTCCGGCGTCCGTTTTCTCAGCAATGAGCTGTGCTCAGTTACTTTAGCAGGAGTCGTTGCAGGAAAGGAAACGTATACAAGGTACGATAGCTGTAGCTGGATTAGCTTTTGACCTTAAACTGTTAGATTTAGCCATTCATTTACCCTCAAAAACAAGATTAAGGTTTACCAGCTCATAACAGCCCTGGCAGGCAAACCTGTCATTTTAAAAATAAAAGTATGTTGTCATGAAGGTGTTTTTAAAAATCTATAACACTGTCCCTTGTAACCCTAGCCTGCTTATCAATAGTGGAAATGATCTGCTTCAAGGTTTGTTTGCCGACTGTGTTAGATTCTGTTGATTTGAAAGCAAATGTTCCTCCATTTTATTTCAAATGGGCCTGCAGTACTTAAGTCACAGAGATGGACACCTCCAAACTTCCCAAGATCCAGGATGAGGAGCGAGAAAGCCAGTTTGGATATGTACATGGAGTTTCTGGACCAGGTCTGTTTCATTAGGCTTTTCTTTAGATCCACAAATTGTATTGTTGTCACATCAAGTGTGTTATTCTCCTATCTTGAATTAGTTTTTCTTAATAAGTAAAAATGAAATGGAAGGTTTGAGTATAAAAACAGGTTCCTGGTGGTTTACCTCCACTGTCCTGCACAGACAAAATGAAAATGTTTTGTGTGTGATGTCTCTCACATGACATCACTTTTGAACTTTGTATGTTTTTTTCTATTCTTTTTTTAATCAACAGTGGTGACAGCCACAGCCATGGCTGGAGCTGCCATGTATGAGCTGGTTCGTGTGGGTCACAGCGAGCTGGTGGGAGAAATCATCCGTTTGGAGGGTGACATGGCAACTATTCAGGTCTACGAGGAGACATGTATCCTTTCGGCTTCCATTGCTCCTTTCCTTGTGGCGACAGTGTTTTAGCAACTAGTGTTATTTCAGTTTTTCTGAGCTTAATACCAGCTGGTGTGTCCGTTGGTGACCCTGTCCTCCGGACGGGAAAACCTCTCTCTGTAGAGCTGGGACCTGGTATCATGGGCTCCATCTTTGACGGTATCCAGCGTCCACTAAAGGACATTAATGACCTCACTCAAAGTATCTACATCCCAAGAGGAGTGAACATCGGTGCCCTTAACAGAGACCTCAAATGGGAGTTTACTCCTGGCCAGAGTCTTCGAGTAGGAAAAGACTTTATTGTGATCTACGTTTTCATGTCTACTCATTAGCTGTGCTCACACACCTTTTCCCCCCTCCAGGTAGGCAGTCACATAACGGGTGGGGATATTTATGGTACGGTGTTCGAAAACTCCCTAATCAAGCACAAGCTGATGCTTCCTCCTCGCAACAGAGGCACCGTCACCTACCTGGCCCCTCCTGGGAACTATGACATTTCCGTGAGTGTTGGTCTTAAAGCAGAACGTGCGTTTGTGGGGAAACTTTTCATCTGTTTAAACCCTTTTGCTTTCAGGATGTGGTTCTGGAGCTGGAGTTTGAGGGCGTGAAGGAGAAGTTCACCATGGTGCAGGTGTGGCCGGTGCGACAAATCCGCCCTGTGACGGAGAAACTACCTGCCAACCACCCACTGCTGACTGGTCAGAGAGTTCTGGATGCCCTTTTCCCGTAAGTCTGCCAAAGGACAGATGTGCTCATTTCCATTCAGCAGCACAGAAGGTCCCTGTGGCACGATGACAGCTTTCATCCACCCGCTTTCATTCCTATAGAGAGATTCTGCTGGTTAGTGTTCGTGTGTGGCGTCTTTGGTTCGAAATTGAGTTTTCCTGTCCAGGTGCGTGCAGGGCGGCACCACTGCTATACCAGGGGCCTTTGGATGTGGAAAGACGGTGATCTCCCAGTCACTGTCAAAGTACTCAAACAGTGATGTCATCATCTACGTCGGCTGTGGAGAGCGTGGGAATGAAATGTCTGAAGTGCTGCGCGATTTCCCTGAGGTTGGTGGAAGAACATTGAGCTTCTGAAGAGCCCAATCTGGGAATACACCACCTTTTGATACTTTTATGCTTATTATTCCTACCTACTTTAACATTTCAGTTACTTGATAGGATGTGTATTTCTTTTACTGAATATTTAGGATGTGTAATTTTCAGATTTTGCAAACAATGCAAATAATTTGTATTTGCCTTAAACTTCTTTAAAGCATTGAATTGATATTTAAAGAAATATGTGATCATTCAATGTTTGTTCTGGAGGGGAAAAAAATTGGTACGGGATGAGTGTTCACTGTTGTTGTCCAACAGCTTACTATGGAAGTTGATGGCAAAATCGAGAGCATCATGAAAAGAACAGCTCTGGTCGCCAACACATCCAACATGCCGGTGGCTGCCAGAGAAGCTTCCATATATACAGGTGCCAGCTATTTACCTCATAGCAGTCTAACTTAACGTTAAGTGGCAGTAAATATTTCATGGAACTAGTGGGAACGCTTTAGAGTTGATGTTTGTCTCCATTTTGTCTGAAAATATGAACGAATTGTCTGCAGGGATCACGCTGTCAGAATACTTCAGAGATATGGGCTACAACGTGAGCATGATGGCCGACTCCACATCCCGATGGGCTGAGGCTCTGAGAGAAATCTCCGGAAGACTGGCTGAAATGCCTGCTGGTGAGCTCCCTGGCTCCTGTGTGGCTCGTTTACAGGAATCCATACACACAGACAGTAATAAAGTCGAGTAGCCCCTGTGATCAGACTTGGATGTCGTTGGCTACAGACAGCGGATATCCTGCTTACCTGGGTGCCAGACTGGCCTCCTTCTATGAGCGCGCCGGGCGGGTGAAGTGCCTGGGGAACCCAGAGCGAGAAGGCAGCGTCAGCATCGTCGGAGCGTGAGTCCATTTCCATTTAGAAAAACCAAGGATTTTCTCATCCTCTGAGGCTTTTAATGGAGTTGGGACATGTTGTCAAACCTAGATGTGTAATTTATCAGGTTGGCTTCTTCTTTGATATGATTGATTCCCTTTAGAGTGTCGCCCCCTGGTGGGGACTTCTCCGATCCTGTCACGTCAGCCACATTGGGAATTGTTCAGGTAAGCAGTGACTCTAACATTTCATTTAGTCTTTCTCACTGTCAGTATGTGAAGAGTGCATGTATGATCCCTCTTTGTTTTTCTCCTCGCAGGTTTTCTGGGGATTGGACAAAAAGCTGGCTCAAAGGAAGCACTTCCCCTCTGTAAACTGGCTCATCAGCTACAGCAAGTACACGCGAGCTCTGGATGAATACTACGACAAGCATTTCCCCGAGTTTGTCCCTCTTCGTACAAAATCCAAGGAGATTCTCCAAGAGGAGGAGGACCTGGCTGAAATTGTGCAACTTGTAGGCAAGGTGAGGCGAGTTGGGAGTGCAGAGGAAATGGATTCACGTGACTATAGAAATATGAAAAGATCTCAGTATCTCAGCTTTCTTTTCTGGTTGTGTTTTTCTTTTATTGGCAAACCTTTTGTGGAGTGTAACTCTTCTGATCTGCCACTCTGATCTTATTGCTTTGTTTACAGGCTTCCCTGGCAGAGACTGATAAAATTACTCTGGAGGTTGCTAAGCTCATTAAAGATGACTTCCTGCAGCAGAACGGCTACACCCCATATGACAGGTGACAGAAGAACTCAGTGCATCTGGCTTTCGCTCCTTACGTTATCCACAAATGATCTGAAAGAGTTCCAACATCATCCCTGCAAAGATTTAGAATTCACTCAATCTTTTGTACTTGTGCACAGGTTCTGCCCCTTTTACAAGACAGTTGGCATCCTCTCAAACATGATAGCGTTCTACGACATGGCTCGACATGCCGTGGAGTCCACGGCTCAGAGCGACAATAAAATCACCTGGGCCATGATCAGAGAGCACATGGGCGAGATCCTGTACAAGATCAGCTCCATGAAGTTCAAGGTAGCCGTTGTTTTGTTCTACTGTTTGCTCTGTTTTGTTGTTCCCCAAACATTAAGATTCCCCTCCTGATCACATTCTTTGGATTTTTCAGGACCCTGTTAAAGATGGCGAAGCCAAGATCAAAGCGGACTATGCCCAGTTGCTGGAGGACATGCAGAACGCCTTCCGGACTTTGGAGGAATGAGAATCTGCCCCGTCATCTCTTCTTCCAACTATCCAAACCCAGTGCGGTGCAGCAACAACTGGCTCGTGTTCTGAATGTCTGCCTCTGTCATGTGAACTCCTGTGTGTGTTTACATCCCTTTTGAACATTCCATGCCCCATACAAATTGTTTTCTTTAGTGGATTTTTTTTGGTTTTGTTTCGGTAACCCTTCCCATCAGAATCATGCTGCTGGAACTGCAGCAGAAGCAGCACAGGCCTTCTGCTCTGCAAACAGAGCAGCAGCCTGTCTCAGCCCATCCCACAGTGGTTATCGGTCATCGGGGTGGTGGTCAAACTCAGTGGGGCCCAGTCATGTGCTGCACTTACTATCAAAAACTAGATTTTAAAAAAGTGAAAATGGATATATCTTGTCCCCCAAGTGCAATTCTGATTATTAAAAAGGGGAAAAGGAAAATAGGTAAAGGGACAGAGTACTGTGTATTCAGTGTGGGGGTTAAAGGCATTCTTCCACCCCTTACCTCTTGAGTGTGATCGTGGTGTTGTGGACTATATACTTGACATAATGTATACAAATGTGAATGAATGAATCTATTAGTGTGTGTTGTAAAATTGTCTCACTATTATAGCCATGGTTCATTAAATGTTTAAAACAAATACTGAAAAATTGTCAGCGCCATTCATTGTTCGCATGCTCCCATGTTTCTGGTCTTATGGTTTTGGTAGTTGGCCAGTATGTTATCTAAAGTACTATTCAAGTCTTTAATTTAATTACTTCCAAAGATACAGACTTTGTTGTAATCATTAAACATGGTCTTGCTTAAAAGTTCTTTGAAAATTAACTTAGTTCATTTTATGTCCACTTTTCGAGAAGATAAAACAACAAAAGAAACACACACTTATGAATGATTCAAGCATGATTATGAACTAACTCAACATGGACAAATGTTCAATCCACATAAAATTACCATTCAGATCATTCTATCTTTTTGCTACTAGAAGCTTTCTACTAAAACTGTTGATTTATTCATTGTATTTAAATAGGTCTTCTAAGCTTTGTCGTGGACACATTTAATCAGGGAAAGACTCTCCACACCAGGTGGTGCACACACACAGCTTGAGGGTCCCAGTGTGGCTGGGAGGGAAACGCTCCAATTTGAAGTAGTTTTAACTTCCAGCTGAGCCTGGAGGACGCTTCGACCATGCCACAAATTAAAGCCCTAAACACTGAGATTATTCTAACCTGCATACTTATCCTGCTTTTTGTCATATCCATGCAAACGATAAGTATAATTCTGTGGCAACACACACTCATTTGGTGAAGATGTTTACTTTTTTCATTCCAAATCATCTTCAAATAGAACAAAAATGTTTGTTGGTCTTACAAAGAACATATGAGAGGATGTCCTTCAGAAATGTGGCTAATATGGCCTTTTTTCTCTATTCAACACTTCAAAACTGTAACATTGTACTTCCTCTGCTTTGCTGTACATGTTTGGGTGTATTTTCATGTTTCCACAAAGCAAACTGGAGCCTCGCTTTACTTTTCTGAGGGTTTGAAATGTTCTCTCATCAATACATTGGTGCTGCAATAATCTCTTAGTTTTAAAGGGATCACAGACGTGTAACTTGGTTCGGTCAGCACAGAGCTCTGTTCTGCACTAGGGTACACAAAGATCACATCATAAGACATCGCAATTTTTTGTTTTGTTTGAAGCAGGTATGTAATTATGTGAATTCGATTCCTTGCATCATCAAACAAGGCTTTGAGATCACACATTTGCTCGTCTTGCTTTGTTTGCTGAGTATTCAGCATCTAGCTGTGAATAATGCAATGTGTACTGTTGGGTCAGTGAGCTTTATATCCTCCAAATTGGTTTAAAGCTGCTATCTCAGGTTCCGGGCTCCATTAAGACTAATGGAAGCATAACCCGAGAGAGCAAGAGCAGCATCTTCTCTCTGCATTGATTCAGTTTGTCTAGACTCAGACTTGATGTTAAAGTCTAAAAAAATACCAGCCTATGGCTGATATACACCTGCATTTTTCTTCTTTTTGTAAAGGGGTCATTATCAAATCTATATACGGGAAAGCATCCGATGAAAATGTAAGCAGTGTAAAATCCATCACATATCCATGTGTCACATCAATAACGACTGTTTCTGCCTGTGGTGTTGCTTAATTTCACTGTGTCACATGCAGGGTTTCAAAAGGCTTTTTTCCCCCAAATGTAATAAAAATGGTCATTCTTAGTTACTTTGTTTTGATATTTACTGGAAGATGACTTGGAACTGAGTCCATGAGGGACTTAGTGGTATGAGGAAGGCTGTTCCAATTGTAGGCGCCAGTGTACATTATTGTTTTTACTCATTTCTAACGTATGAATTTTTAAAAAGCTGCCTTTTAACGACGCCCACGTTAAACACGGTTGCTCCTCGCTCCCTCTTTTTACGCCATTCAGCGAAACATTTAAGACAGAAGCTGCTTCCAAGCAGCGGCTGTGGTGTTAATGAGAAGAAAACGTGTGCAGCGGCCCATCCGGACCTCAGCCTCTAACGGGTAGGGGTGAGGGGAGACAACTTTCCTGAAGGGGTCTTTTACCACATCATCACTGTGGTTATCAGTTATACATCAGAGGGGTGATGTGTGGAGAAAATGCTTCTATCAACATCACCGCACTGATCACACACAAACACTCGTCCAGGGTTTCTGTTTGTAAGCAGCAAGGTCAGATTGCCTGTGGGAGGAAATGGGATCCCTGAGGGTGGAGCCGTCCCGTCGATCATCGCTCACCCTCTCATCTATGAGTGCCTGTCATGTTTCTCATGCACACCCTCATCCAGCTCAGTGTGCATTATCAGGGCTGGGTCTTTTGGACGCCTCATTATAGCCTCTCAGCTGTGCAGAGAGGTATGAAAGGCTCCCGGTTCCCTCGCTCGCTATACCAGAGGAGGGCAGCTCCTATATTTACCGAGCGGGCTGGTGCTGAAGTCCAAAAGGGTAGCTCGCACAGGCTGTCAAGCACAGGGGACGACTTGTAAACTATGTAACGTTATGTGAGAAAGTTAGCCCCTCGGAAAAGTGATCCGGCTGACGCAACACAACATCTAACCACTTGTCAGGAGGAATTAAAGTTGCCTTCTGTTGGGACACTTCCACCGTGGGAATCCGAGAAATGAAAACCATCTCGGTGCTCTGACCTGCTGCTGCTGCTGCAGCGCCACGGCAGAAACATGCCAATATCCTTTTTTCAACACAAATTACTGATGAGAAAGTAGGCTGCTCTTTTCATCCCCCCCCCACACCATCTTCAATCAGTCACGGGAGGAGCCTGGTGATGAGCGGTCATCTTCTCAATCGTTTTTGGTTGAAGATTTATTGACTTTCACCAGAGACTGGGGCTGAGATATTTAGATGTTTTCGTGTCTTTCTTTGAAGTCATAAGGTAAGGAGATGGAGACCATAATCTTTGCTTCATGAGTGTGCTTTTTTCTTCTTTTAACATCTTCAAAAACTAACATAGCGTGTTGTTGTAGTTATCACTGTTATGTGGAAGAATTTAGAGGCCAGATTAACACAAACTGTTTAAGAAAGCAACTTTTAGATAAAGGATTAATAACTCATCATGTGTATACTGTCCTCCTGTTTTTAGTATGTTTTCTATTCATTCTTATTGATCTAATAAAGTCTATAAGTCTGTAACCTAACCTCTTTCCTAAATCAGACTAATTATAATGATAATAGAAAGTCATACTGACAGATCTCAAGTATATCTCAGACTGTTTAGGTTATGTGGCCCAGATTGTTAGTCCCTGCAGACACGGTGGCCTTGTTTCAACACATTAAATTAGAAGCTCTTGAGACGTAACAACAATTAGATTAGATTCTTCTGACTCAAACTGGAGTTAAAAGTACGGGATAAACCCAGAGCTGTCCAAATACGTTAAATCTCAGTTTTATCTATCTTACTCGTCTTGCTCGCACACTAGCTCACAATTGCTCTTTGTTTTTAACTGTAGTCATTTGATTGCAACCAACACCAAGAGTTAAATTTCTACTGACTCGGCCTCTGAGACAAGTGCGACAATAAGAACAATGAGAGCTCAGTGAGTGAGGGTCAGATCCTCGGCTGTACGTCTGAGGTGCAAACATACTGTATGCACATATGTTATGTAAGCCAAAAAGTAAGTAAAGAAGGAAGTTTCTTAGAGTTATTTCTTAGATTTCCCTGTTTTTGTTAAAGAATTACCCTTCAGCTGTGTCCTTTGTTTTTTTAAGTGATGGCCTTTGTTATTGAGGTGACAGCCCATAAACTTCAAAGTCATCTTTAGCAGGCCATAATGAAATGGGAGAAGTTAAAGCCTCCAGAGCCAGACGACCCTATGTGCTGCTGTGAATGTGATATCTGCCAGTGCGGATGTTGCTGTGACTGTGAAGAACTGGATGACACCTTCAACAGGTATAAGTGTGTGAAGAAAAGGGTTGGCAGTGAAACCTAACTGTGCTGTAAAATAGAACGAGCTGTCATGTCACTCGTACAAAGGTTGCCCTTGCTTAAAGGTGCTTTATTAGACATGGTGACCATGAAAAGCTTTCAGGCTGATTTAGAAACCGGACTGGCAGGAACCATAAGAGAACAGTTTGATAAGTGATCTTAGGGCTGACACCAATTTCACGTCGGCTTTTGAAATATGAAACTCCAGCCTGAAGCTATTCATCCAGCTGACAGTCTCATAAAGACTGGAAATCATTCTGGGAACTGCATGGTTAGTTGGAAATGTGCCCCAGCCATGAAATGCTCAAGAACAAGTTGATTGTTGTTTCTTTTTTTCTAAAGCCAAAAAACAATTTGTTTGTGAATCTGTGAACCATGAACCTGATTGTGCAGGTAGATGATCTCGTGGGCGTACCTTCTTCTAGAACATCAGGCTCAGGAGTTAGCTGGTCGTCTTTTGGTCAAACATTCTCCGGTTACATGTAAAGGAACCCTTAGAAAACATACTGAATTTCAAATTTCCACCAAATTTGTTCTTCCACTTGTAAGCTGATTGTGCAGGCACTTGTGCCAAGTGATGTAATGTGAGATAAAGGAGACAGATGTTACTTTTGGGAGAATAAAGTTCCCATATTGTCCAGTGTATATTGAGAGTGTATATTTAGAAAATTTGTTTCAGTTTCCAAATGACTTTAGTTCCCGTTTGAAATGCAAATGACTAATTCAACATACAAAAAAATATATATTTTCATTGTTTCATGCTGCATGCCCCTTGATGACATTATGCAGGATCAAGTTAGCCAAATCACCTACTATCATTACGGCATACAGAATACAGAATGCTTCATTTCTTTGCCACAGGCCTGTTATCATAGTCACCAAATACCTTTGAGTTATTAATGCCATAAAATCATTTACAGTGTTCACTGTAAATGTTAAAAGATGCTAATATTAAATCAAAATGACTGTATTTAGCCTGAAATTCAATATGAGACTGAATAAACATATACATGGAACTCATTAAAGTTTGACCAATTCAAAAGAGTAGTTGAATAAGTCACAGTTCTGGTTGACAGATTTACGACCGCTGTTTTCTGTAGGTGGCTGAGAGAGAAACCACCCACGGCAGGACTTCTTTCGCCCGTGTTGGGAGCTGTGACCGACAACCTGGAGATCTCGCTGATCCCAGCTCTGCTGCTGCTGCCCCTGCTGCTGAGGGCCGCGGCGCTGCACTACGCGCTGGGCATCGTCATCCTGACCGCTCTGCCGGGCCTGGTGCTGTGGTACTACTACGCCACGCACCGCAAGAAGAAACGCAGCCTGTTCTTCCTCACGCTCGCTCTGTACTCTCTGGCTTACATGTATTACCTCTTCATCACAGAGATTTTCCCCCGTGGGGACGTCAGCCAGCTCCAGTTGGGCACCGTGACCTTTGGAATGATTCTGACAATCGGTTGTCTGATTCACACAAAGAGAGGGCCGGGGTTCGTCACGGCTTCCCTGTACGAAGCAAACAGCCGCAGCAAAGTGGCTGGGGAGGATTCTTCACTCCTTCATGGATTTCCCCAGCCCGCGGCCTCTGCCTTAGTGACCTCAGGAGCAGGAAAAGAGGCTGAAACGGCCAAATGGAGCACGTGTCCCGTTTGCAAAATCATGCGGCCCCCCCGAGCCGGACACTGCAGAACCTGTGGATCATGTGTGCAGCGTCTGGATCACCACTGCATCTGGTGGGTTTGGTGAATGCCTTCTTTGCCTTTAGTTTACCATGCATTTGATGATGAAATGCCAATAACCATGGGTTCAGTTACATTTCTATGACAACCTCAAGAAAGGGTATTATTCTATTATCAGATTAGAATACTTGCTCATGTTCTTCATTATACTCTGTCTATTTGGTCTTGACATCCAAAGACAGGGTATAATTCTGGTTTGGCTTTATTTTCACCCATTCACTGTATCATGAAAGCACATAGTGCATTAAAGAAGCTTTCATGTCATTTTGAGTCTCATTCAATTTGTCTTGTTCGTGTGTCCTTGCATTGTTTTCAAAACTGATCCTTAAAAATAATTGTCAAAAAATGATGCATGCCTAAATATAAAACGGAATAGACTGAAATCAAAACACACTTTTTTTTTTACCATGAGTGTTTACATCCTGTAGAATCAGTGTGACTTCATCCATCCCTCGATCCATGCTTTATCTCGACCTGCTTATTCTTAGTAGTCACAAAGGGGTTTGCTGCCTATCCCGGCTGTGATCAGGATATACCCTGGACAGGTCCTCAGTCCATCATGGGGCCTCTCACAGACAAGCAACCAAACACTCACACACTCACTCCTACGGTCAAATTAGAAAACACAGATAACCTACATGTTTTGGGTTGTGGGAGGAAGAGAGCCCATGCACTAGGAGAGCCTATTAACAGAAGATAAAGAAAGCACCACGGTTAGTTGAGATGTGCAAAAGCCATGGTACACATTGAATATTGCGGATGTAAGTTTTCAAGTTCCATAAAGAGTCAGTTGCGAACGAGAATAGTGTTGTTGTGAATGGAGCCACAGTGTGTTGCTTCCTCTCTCTGACCTGAGTGTGTCTGTGTCACATGCTGAGGCGCTGCAGGATTAACGGCTGCGTTGGACAAGCAAATCACCGCAGTTTTCTGCTGACCCTCTGCGTGTTCCTTTTAACGTCCGTGTACGGGATCGGTTTGGTGCTCCGCAGCCTTTGCCCCCGACAGTATCTCATGACAGCGCTCTTCTACTGTCCCGGCGTCTACGGCCAGTCTAGGTACTATGCCCTCTCCATATTCTGCCCTCAGGTGAATGTAGAAATACATGGACAAATTGCCTTTTTTGGTCAGTATGGGTAAAAATGTCCCTTTGTGAGGAGATTCACCTGTTGTCAATTCACACCTCTGCTAGAGATAACTCATTTATTGTAATGTGATTTGAAATTTAAGCTTTAACTGCTTATTATATAATTATTGTTGAAATACGATCTGGTAATTTTCTCATTTTATAATTCACCATTCATTGAAATGGCTCATCATCCTGCACTTGTAAGTGGATGCCTCCCGGTGATCTGATGGTGTGTCCACTCTGTGTGTGCCTGCAGCACGGCTCTTTGCTTCACCTGCTGTTGGTACAGCAGCATTGTAACAGCCGGACTGCTCTACCTGCTGGTGGCGCAAGTTCTCAACATCAGCTTCAACGTGACGGAGCGAGAGGCTCAGCTTGCCGTGAGGAACAAAAAGGGCCAGAGCCGCCTGTGGGGACTCGTCATCGACACTGGAGAGTATTCCCGTGGCTTCTACCAGAACTGGGTTGAGTTCCTCACCATGACAGATGCCTCGGTGTCTCCTCGCTCCAGCCTCACTGACTTGGTTTAGGTTTCCTTTATATATTCCAGTGTGAGAAAGATAGCATGTTAATTCAGCATACAAGAAGATGATCCTCTTAAGTGTGACTTTTCAGCCAAATAATACTGACTGTGGTGTCTAAAAGCTGTTTTACCTCTGGAAGAATAAGGTGCTAAAAGTGTTCATTTTTAATCAACACAAATGTATTAAACTTTTTGCATATGGATTTAAGCAACGTCATTGGGTAATTTATTTTGTAAGGCAAAAGCGCACAAATATGCACACTCGATGATAGCTTGACAGCTGGGTCACACAGAAAACAGACATGCAACAACTCATCAGCCGTATATCAGCTCAGCCATCTCAGTTGATTTACCCACCTGTTTCCTCAAGTGAATGAAAATGGTTACAATAGTCATGCAGCAATCTCAAAAATGTTCATTGTGACATTCATATAATATACATCTGTTTCTGCAAATTGATACAGATATTTTTTACCGTAAATCAAAAGTATAACTCAATTTTCACACAAAAATCACAAAACAAGTTTTAAAAAAAAGACATCATATTGTTCATGCAATACTCAGATAATCATTGTCATCCAAAATTCTCATTATTGACACGTTAGAGCCAATCAGTTAAAATGTTTAAACCGAGCTGCAGAATAAAAATCACCTGGTTGCTCACACAGCCTGCGTCTCCAGTCTGAAAACTGTCTTCTGGCGCCACCATCAGGCCTCTCTATCATTGTGACGGAAATCTTAAAAGCAGGTCCCCAAGAGCAAAATGTATGTAAGCTTTACGTGAAACAGGTGTTATAGCACATTCATCTCAATAATCTGTCTAGACTCAACACAACCAAGGATATTTATACATCTGACACTACAGTGGACACAGAAATGTGATCATGTACAGTGTCTGTGCTCAGACCTTCTCTGATCAGACCAACTGATCTGAACAGGGGGTAGATTAAATATCTAATAAAAACTAGGGAAATTCAGGGTCTTTTATTCATATTTCCATCAAAATAACAAAGAAAGAGAATGTGTTGTTTTATTAGTTTTTCTGAATCAATCATATTGATTCTGTGATCAGCAGGAAAGGGAAACAGGACTACACTTAAACTAAGTTGATGGTCATGAAGAATAAGCCATAAAGTTACTGGTAAGCTTAAATCTAGTTTTGTATTTACCTTAGTTATATCACCAGTTAGAAAAGAGCTCCCCTGTCAACTTGTGATAACAAGTTTTCCCATTTCGTCAAAACAGATTCGAGTCATCTTTCAAGTTGTGGTAACCCCCTGAGGTAGATATCCTCAGCTGATCTGTGGTTTAATCTGGAAAAAAACTTTCTGACATATCACTTGGGACACTGGTTTTCTCAGGGTAGACAGCATACCTGTTTAAACTGGCGAGGTATGCTTGCCTGAGGCCTGTGCTGTGGCGTGTATCTGCCTGCAGCTGATAACCTGACAAAGTGCTCTGTTTCCTAACTATTGTGCCTCAATACAGCCTAATCATCCTTCCTGGAGTTGTTATTTTGTCTGTGTAGGGGAGAGAAGCAGATTTGGAACATATATTTCCCCCAAGTCAGTCGTTAAAAAAAAGTGCTCACACCGTGTTTTATAGCATTAGTTACTTTAATTAAGATGTAAAGGTGTAGCAGTCAAAGACACAAAACTCAAATGTTTATTTCATTTAACAATCCCATCAGAATCCCAGAATTGCCCCTTTTGGATGATTTCTCTCACAGTCTGGACTCTGAGCTCCTCCAAAAACATTGTTTTTGCTTCTTGTTATTTGTTTTTTGACCACTTTGGGTTGTTTTTTGGGATCATTGTTCTGTAGTAAGATGTCATGCTTCTTGATGGCCAGTTGATCACACACAGAGTCTTTCTCATTTTTGTAAAAGTCTAATAAGTCTTCCCAGCTTTACTGTCTCAAAGGTGGGCCTCAAAAGACTTTGCACAAACCTTGTCATAGGAAGACTCATTTCTCTGAGAACAAAGCGGTTGGTTGTAAGCTCTAGGGTCTGATAAGATTTTAAAAGACACAGGTTTGGGTTACTGATGTAAATAGTCAAATAAAGGGGGTGGAAATGTAATAATTTGGCTTTTAAAAAAAAGAAAAAACTTTCCATCGATGTATCAATGTCAAAGTAAATTACATCACAAGATTTTTTAATTGATTTAAGTCACACTATTATTGACACCATGCAAAAAGCATGGGTTAACAAAGAGCAAAGGGTTAACTTTTAGGTATAAATTGAATATTGAGTACAGTTGTCTACAATATAGTGCATCAGCCACAACTCCTTTCTTTGTACATTACAATAAAAACAAGACATAGAAGTGGTGATTCACACAAACGTGGCAGGATAGGACAGGTGCTCTTTGGTAATCCCCTTGTTATGACAAAACAAAAAAACAGATTTATGCCTCAAGCCTAAAACTGAATCTGTGTCATCTTTGGTATTTTTCATACATGTGAATAAAACCATGAGTAAGAATTGTATAAGAATTGTGCATTTTTTCATAACGAAAAAATCAAAAACTGATTCCATGCCAATTGTTCTGTAACATGCACACTCAGTATTGGTCCATCGCTTACTGTAAGCTTTAATGACTCACAGATCTGTTGTAAATAGCTTAACAAAAACAGCAAAAGACATCCATCCATATATTTTCTATACATCTTACTCCCAACAGGGCTATCCTAGCTGACAACAGGTGAGAGGCGGGGTTCACCTGCAAAGTTCTCCAATAAGCAAAATACATTTGTTCTGAAATTGGTTAGGTTGAATTACTGAAGTGACAATAATGTCCACCAGCACAAAAAAATATTAAGACTATTAAGGATCTTTTTTTTTTAAACCGGAAAAAAGCACTTGCGTGTGAATTTTCAGAGGGTGGGATTGATTTCATATTCCTAGAAACATAAATTAAGTTCCCATAATTGTTTACACTCTCAACAGCACCTGGCAGTTAGAGCCTGGCAGCCTCCTCTCTGTCTTTTTAATGAGCCCCTTAAGCAATGCAAGTCAGATCCTACCCCTGTAAGGCAAGTAACCTTCCATAGGTTTGCAGAGCACGGTGCTTTCGAAATCATTTCAAATACTGACCACAAAACAAAGTGCAGGCCTAACATTCATTTCTTTTTGATTGGCACAGTGGGTGTTGAGTCTTTTTCCCCCACACTAGCATTAGAAATAAGAGTTCTTCCTTAATTCTGGAAAACCACTTGGGCTTTGATCACTTCAATATCCCTTTACTTAAATTCTACCGGACTGATTAAATACTTTTCTGTGACATTGTGATCACTTTGTTGTGGCGCAGTAAAGGATTAAAAAATGACCAGTTGTTTAAAGGCTTTAGAAAAATAAGGAAAAAACATGTTACGGACACTTTTCTTATTTATGTTGGCGAATGTTGTTGAAATTTGAGCCACAGGAAGACAATTTGAGCAGAAACTAAGCTGGAGGTGGCAGGTGACTTCAGCACATGGGGACGCATCATTGCTAGCCCCACCTGCAGGTATATTTGTGTTGTCTGTGTGCGCTACTGTCACAACTGCTGACAAATGGATTTGATTCTATGGTCTCTGCCACAGAAAGCACTGGAGGGCAGCCACTGCCTTGTTTACCACTTTTGGGAGAACAAAACCCGCCCACCCTTGTTGTTTGTGTTGTTGTTTTGGTGTTGTTGTTATTATATTAAGAAGCTTGTAAAAAAAAAAGGAATTTGGCAAATACATCAATTAAAGCCATTTTACTGATAGCTCAAAATATATATTCAAAGGATTCATTAGAATCCGACCCCAGTTGTTCATGTGGTGTTGTTTTTGTGCAGGTTTTTCCTTTTCCATTCACCTATCACACGGATGATTGAGTTGTGAAAGTGTGCGTGTGTTTGCCTGCAGCTTCACGTGTTTGAACTGTGCCCAGCTCTGCGGGTATGTGTTGGCTGGGAGCGAAAAGGTTCACACCCACACTCCGCTGTATAAAAGGCTCATCAGGCAGAAGATCTGACAACAGGCATCCAGATTCTCATCAACCTTCCGACCTGGGACTCTGGGCTGACCCCGCGCTTCAGAAGCCATGACTTTGTTGCTCACCTTGCTTGGAGCTGCGCTCTGCTCCTTGACCGTTTCCTCTGAAGTCCAACCTCAGGCCGACTTCGACCTGCAGGGGGTAAGACACATGAGATGGGGATGAGTCTTCTATCTTTTTTCTTTGTGTAATGCTTGGACATCTGCTAGACACAAGATTACTTCAGTTCTAGTAAATGAGGATTTTTTCATAATTTTTTTTTATGTTCCGAATTCTCATAGTTGTGTTTCATTATGGGCTCTCATGTGACAACATTTCCCAACCAAAGAAATCCTAGGATACGTGTGAGAATCTGCGAGAAAGTCCTGTAAAACAGGAAAATAAATAGTTTTTTATGATAAATTCCCACAGTATAGGCAGATTTTGTTTGCTACCGACCCCACCTTCCTTAATTTTCTGTTATATTTTCCGTGTCACTACAGATGGCAGGGAAGTGGTACCTGGTTGGATTTGCCACCAATGCCGAGTGGTTCACCAGGCGCAAAGGCTCCATGAAGACTGGCACTGCCATGTTCGATCCAACTGCAGATGGGGACCTGGACATGTCCTATTCCAGTCTCAGGTGAGCGTGAGGACAGACAGAAGTGGACAATTGATAGGGGGGGTGAATGAATTGACACAGTCTATGGAATCTTCTGTTTCAGCTCTGATGGTTCTTGCTGGAGAATGAACAATCTTGCCAGGAAGACCGAAGTGCCAGGGAAGTTCACCTACATCAGTCAGCGTAAGTGTGCGCACAGCTAAAACAATACGAAAATATACAGACAGGTCCACTGTCCCCTCTTCACCATTATGCCCTCCCACCCTTTTCAGGCTGGGGGAATGTGAACGACATGAGCGTGATTGAAGTGAAGTACGACGAGTACGCCCTGATTTACACCGTCAAAACAAAGGCACAGGAGGCGTCCGTTGTCACCAAACTATACGGTAAATTCCCCAATAGATTTAATTCCACCCACTCTTCAGGAGTTTAGTGAGGCTGCGGTGTGACAGATTACTTTGTGTCTTCACAGGACGCGCAGAGGACCTCAACGCTGGTGTGACGGAGAAGTTCAAGCAGGTCTCCCTGGAGGCTGGAATCCTGCCGGAAAACATCGTTATGCTTCCCAAAAATGGTACTTTATTCCTAAATATATAGGACCATTTGTTCTCACAGTGAAGTGATATGAGCTCTTACCTGCGTTTGGTTTGCCTTCCCCCAGCGGAGTGCCCAGCTGCCTGATTTCTGCCCTGTTCAAGCCATCCGTGTCGCAGGCAGACCTACAACCTTTGCAGTGAGAACTACACATCTGTCAAAGCCTCTGCCAGAAGCAGCAACGTCTTCAGTTCATTTTTTTCAGCTGGAGCCTGGTTCAGATAAATTCATCTTTGCTTTCTTTCATCATTTCGGCAAATAAAACCACAAACATCTAAAATACTTTGCTTTTATTATCGTTTTTTTTAACAAATACGCTGACATACATCCATAACAACACAGTTCATGATTTCCTTTTTAATCAAGTGTTTACATCTACACGCTTTGTACAGATCTGTATACAAAACAATAATTTACGTCCCATAGAAGTCTAGTTACACTTAACTATACAACAAGTTGTAAATGAAATAAATATAAAAACAGAAATGATCACTTGTTCAAAAAAAAAAAAAAAGTAAAAAGCCAAAGTACATGTACACCACCAGCACCTGTCTTCTGAAGTCGCATCTAAAAAGATATACATTTTCCCTTTCTACTGGCAAAAGTACATCTGTGATGGTGAAACGGTTCACGCCATAGCTGCAGCACCAAATACACTGTATAATTCCCCATTTGAACCCAACATTTATATTGGGACGCTGATAAGAACTTTAAAAAAACAAAAACAAAACAAAAACAGTCTCACATTGGTAAACCGATGCCTGTGGTTATATAACTTTAGTTGCAAGTTACCAATTATGTTGGGAATGAAAAAGGGAGGAAAAAATTGGAGAGGGATTTCAATCCCTAGTTAGCATCAATTAAAAACGTGTACAGTCATTCGGGCTAAGTCTGGGTTCTTTTGGGTACTTGCTCCAAACAACTTTCAGTGCATTCACAGACATGAGAACAGAAATGCTTGACGGTGTTCATGACTGCACTATAAGTTCTGTGCACACGAGAGCTTTTTAATTCACCACCATCTTGCGACCACTTTTTTTTTCCGGTATTCGTTTTTTATTCCATAAATCAGATGAAGAGGCTTAGGAAGATCACTTAACTTTCTCTGCATACCCAGCCTTGTGTTTTTGTTACGCAACAAAGGGTTATGTTGCAGAGTGGCAGGGGTCAGAGCACCAGGAAGCAGAACAAAGGCAATTTTGGCCCTTTCACACTCGTCCTCTCTCTCTCTCTCTTTCTCTCTCTCTCTCTCTCTCTCTCTCTCATACACAAACAATTTACAAGTGCTACTGGGAATGGGTTGCTAATACATACCTCTTCGTTAAATACATCTGGACAAATGACGCAAACATTTTAAAGTTACACATCAGTTTTCCGACAAATAATCAGGACTATTGTGATTGAAAACTGACTGCTACCTGCGAAATCAAAAAAAGTGTATCTACAAAAAGTCGTTTGCACAATCTGCCATGCACACTGTCACCAGCGAGGGGACATGCAGTTAAGAGTGCAAGTCTATGAAGGGGGGGGGCTTGTTTGCTAACTCTGACAGCGCATTACCTTTATGTACATGTGTATACACTTGTGAATGAACTTCAGGCTGAGGGTCGAAAAGAGCAAAACAGAGTGGACTTAAGTGCGGCACACACACACAGCGTCAGCCTGACCACTGTGCTGAGGGTGTGACGGAAGAATTCTGCATTTTCCCGCGGTGTGGCACAGTATCTGGCTCGCTCAGAGTCACTAGGCCTGCACCACGTCCTTGTGGTGGCGCATGATATGCTGGTTCTTCTCGGAGGGCCGTCGGAAGCCCTTTGAACAGATCTCACAGCGGTGGGGGTAGTCTTTTGTGTGAATGGAAATCACGTGTCTCTTGAAACCTGAAGCGTCTCCAGTGCTGTAGTCGCAGTACTGGCACTGGTAAATCCTCCGCTCTTTCTGTCCCTTGTCGATGACGACAGTCACACTGCTGGCTAGGCTGGCTGCGCTGACCCGGGCAGGCGTGCTGGACGCACCCGACCCGCTCGGGGCAGACTTTTTGGCCGTCACAGCGGGAGTGTGCGTTTCTGTCCTCTTACTTTCACTCTTTTCGGGAGAGGCCTGCTGCTCTTTTGTGTGCACAGACAAGATGTGGCGACTGAGAACAAAGGGGTCGGCGATTTTGAAGTTGCAGTGCCGGCACTGATGGAGTTTCTTGGTGCGGTGAGATACCGAGTGCTTCTTGAGTTCAGATGGCCGGTGAAAGCCTTTTCCACACACAGCACACTTGTGTGGATAGTCCTTGGTGTGAACAGATATGATATGGCGTTTCAGGTCACTGGAGTTGGAACTTTTGTGATCACAGTGGGCACAATGGTGGGTCTTATTCTCCTCGTGAGTGAGTCCATGTTGCATCAACTCCTCCTCCTCGGCGAAGGTCTGGAAGCAGCGCTCACACTTGTATGGCATCTCTTTGCTATGCTTAGTCTTAATGTGTGTTTTGAGATTAGAGGAGTCGGCAGACTTGTAGTCGCAGTATGGGCAGGAATAAGGCTTCTCGCCTGTGTGTGTACGCATGTGTTTCTTCAACTCCGAGGGATGTCGAAAACCTTTCCCACATTCCACACAAATGTGGGGGAAACTTTTGCTGTGAACGGCCAACAAGTGTCGATTGAGCAGTCCCTGCTCAGCAGTTTCATAGTCACAGAACTTGCATTTGTGCATTTTGGTGGGCGGAGGAGGCGGCTGAGTTTTGGGCTCCCGGTGGTGGTGCTGCAGTCTGTGGGAGAACAGTGCCCCCTGCTGGTGGAACTCTTTGCCACACATTTCACACTCGAAGGGGGCTTTGCTGCTCAGAGCGTGAACCTCCATATGGTTGTGGAAGCTGGCTTTCTTGTTTGTGGTGAAATCACAGTCTGTACATTGATACTTTTTCCTGGTCAGAACATCCTGGTGATGATTCTTTGTGTGCCGCTTCAGGAAGCCTCGCGACTTGAACTTTTTCCCACAAAGCATGCAGGGGTAAACCGTCAGAGGCTGACCGTAGGGACCGATGATGATGGCTGGAGAGGAAGGGCAAGAAGGAGAAGGAAGTGATCACATGATCAGAGAAGCTATGTTCAACATCTTCCTTCTTGACAATGCAACTTTATTCTACGTATAATCTATTAAATCAATCTGCCCTCTGCAGCCAAACTAAAAGACAGTTAACAGATTTGGTGTTTTCATTACATATGATCTTTTGACACTAGATTGTGCATCATGCTAACAGGGTGGTCCACTCATCAGAAATGTTTGAATGAATGAATTAGTTATTTCAGTCACAATGCGGAGAACAAAACTTGAACTGTGTGTAGATAGCTGTTTGGCTGATGTGAAGAGGCATGGGTAGTAATCAACACAGTTGAGTCACAACAGACATCAAGTTAGTGTAACATGGCTGGATATAAAATCATCTAAAAGGTAGTATGAGGGGTGTCTGTTCAATTGGGGTCTGGTGGATAAGCCGTGAGGCTCATCTCCTTTCTGTCCTCACACAGTACTGTAAAAACAGGAAAGGGCAGAAGCCTAAACCAGAAGCAGGAGTGCTTTAACAGGATTTGATCTGCATGGTTCAGCGGGATCGATAGTTTTAATTCAGTGCTGGTGTTCTTGCCTGTCTGGACTTGTCGAGGCTCCGATCGTCTCTTGCTCTTGCCGCGCTGTTTATTGATTTCGTCGACCCCGTCCGATTCATCGATGTGCAGCAGTGCGCTGGCAGCTCCGTTTCGGTTCTCGCAGCTCTCGCTATCCTCTGCGCCTGTAGGGGAACAAAAATGTGTCTTGAACAGAAGGACAAACGCAACCATCAGGTGTAATGCTCAAACCAAGACACTGAGACGTGGCGGATGCACAGGCTTCCAGTGTTGTTTCGTGAGCAATTTAATAGACAAGGGTGCTGACCATAAGCAGCTGCCCAGGCCACAGGCATGAAGTCCTTGCTTAGAGACACGCTGTCATACGAGCGGTCGTGAGTTACTGGCTCTTCACCTCCTACCACCACCTCCATATAAACCTCATCAGTCACCTTGGACCCACCTGTAGATGAGCCCAAGATATACAAAATCCAAAAACTGATGACGGTCAGTTTCATGACAGCTGTCCCCGCTTTGTGGATGCACAAGACTCACCGTGGTTTCCCTGATTGTGGTGAGAATCTCCGACAGACTTGTACACCATCTTCTCCCGGAGCGTTTGACCCGAAGACTCGGTGAGCACCATGCTCTCCGTGTCTCCATCGCTGATGTCCACCGATTCTCCTGAAGAGAGATAGAAATTGCTTTTAAATTCTCCATACCAAACCCCTCTATTTTAACATCAGTATTTTGGTGTTGATTAAAGGGTTTAATTCTACATTTGAATGCACTTTAATATGTTGAATAATAAAGAAAAAAAGGAGAAAAAAGTGTTGGTGTTACTTTGTATTATTTACCCCTTTGTACCTTATGAGACACTGAGCTAAAAAATTGCTTCTTACCCATGTCATCCTCTCCAGAATCAGCCTTGATGATGTACACTTTTATAACCTCCTGTCCATCTTCATCCTTCTCCACTTCCTGGTCCTCCACAGCTCCTTCTACTGTTACTTCTGTACCATCCTCAGACACCATTTTACCAGCCTCATCCACTTAGAAAGAACACAGATGACATTTAATAAAAGAGTGTACACTGTGTCACACATTCAAATGCAGAAAAAAACATTAGAATCTTTGATATATCTAGATGTACATGAGAAAGACTAAAAAATGAAAGATAAATGCCATGCTGATGACGAGCACAAGTTGGAAATAATAAGCTCCCCAATGGGCACGAAAAGCAAGCATATGAGAAGTGTGGAAACACTTCAGCTTCAATCTAAATGGACTAAAAATGTTTGGCAAACATCAAAAACCAAATCATACTTTTCCAAACACCTGGTTGCAGTTCCAAAAAAACTGAGAAATGTTGAGGAAAAGTTGATCCAAAAAGCAAATTACAAACTTTATCCTAGTTTTTACTGCCAGAGATTGGCATCAGAGATAAGCCTTTATAGGGCTGTTATACTATATACAGTACATTTTAAAGGTTGAAGGTTTTCTTGACTGTGTTCCCCAAACTCTAAAACAACCCAAAGCTTTAGTCTTTAAAGAGGCAGGTAGGACACATACAATGCAACATGTACCAACGTTGACGAAAACCAGTGCAATGAAAGAATGACTGTTGCTCACACTGCACACGACAGGATACTGGAAATAGGAATGCTGCTATAGGTGCATTTTTTCTTTTCCTGATGGTCCTTTCAGAGTGACAATCTAAGTTACCACTGCACTGCAGGGCAGTACACTTACAGGATATCATTAGATAATCTCCACAGCCATCTTGGTCATCCTCCTGTTGCTCTGAGTCCATCCCATCTTCAGGGATGTCCCCCATGGCAACGCCTTCTTCCTCGCCTTCCAGAGCCATCACGCAGGTTTCTACAGCGACATCTTCATCTTCATCACAGTGAACATACTCAGAAACTACATCTTCGACGGCATCCTGGATGACCAGCTCTCCTGGGGCAAACCTGTGAACTGCCATGCTTTCGCCCTCTCCCTCTGACACCAACACAGTCTCTTGAAGCTCCACAACAAACTCCTGCCCGCCGGCACCACCCTCATCTGGAAGAGACAGGATTACCAGTCAACCAGGTAAACTCAGAGAAATATAGAAATGGTATATTGAAACTGGATTGAAGCTGTTACAAAACAAATAAAGAGTACTTCTTCCTTCTTAACTTAACACTTGAACACACTTTGCGTAATGACAAAAACTGTTATTAAAAGCACGACTTATTACCCGATCCGTGTAGTATTATTTTAGGCTCTTCAGAATGTATTGCAAGCCTGGTGACATCCTCATCCATTGTCCTTGCACTGCATTTGTTACTGGAGAGCTGAAACCAAAAGGATAAGAACTTAGGTCTGTGGTGACTAAAGATGATGGGAGCTAAGCTGAACACAACAACAATGCCTGCCTCTGTAATCAAAATAACTGTTGAGTCATAAAACATGCAACATCAGAACAGTTCAAGTAAAACATGAATTGTTCGCTGGCTACATCAACAGTATTTGACATGTCTTCTCAGACCATGTGTACAAATATTTATGTCTATATAACCCTGACGTGAAAAATGGGCCACAAAATTTGACAGAAAACAGGCAACATCACAATAGTGGCAATAATCTACTGCATGTCTTCCATGTTGTCTGTCATGACATTCCACTCTTACAGTCATCACAGGCACCATCAATACACAGCAGTGCACCGTTGGTAACGGAAGAGAGGGACCTCTACCATTAGACTGTAGGCTTTGCATTCATCTTAAGATAAAGCAAGACTTCTACCCTCTGTCATAGTCCTCATGTGACATTTGGATAAATGTGGGTAATTTTTCTAACCTCTACAGGGAGCTGCTCTGAATTAGCAGATTTTGTTCTGCTAATGATGAAAGAACAGAAACCACCAACTAAAACTGATTAAAACTAAGGGAGCATCTCGATCTGATTGCTGACAAGAGAACAAAAAAGTGAGTTGGATGTTTCTGCCATTCGTTGCAGATGTTAAAAATAAATAAGTTAATACAATTTCATCCATCTGAACCCAGGTTGTAGCTGCTCCTAACAAAAGGACCACTGAGGAAACCAGCTAAAGAATATTGCAAACTCTCACAACTTTAAATGTGAAAAATGTTAATCTTATTTCCCATCTTCAAAACCTTTCATTAAGTGTGATGGCCATATTTGGCAAAAAGAAGAAAATCAAACATAACCAGAGATTCTACATCACCATTGCAGAGTGTTAAGGATTAGTGACATCTTATGTGGCCCAAGTAAGAGTAATGAACAAACACATTTGACTTATTCTACATAACAAACGCTGGTTCAAAGTCGTTAGTGGCCGCAAGTAATTTACAATAATTACGCTGCTCCAGGCACACCTCCACTATATGCACTACTAATAGCAGAGAATATGAATTAACAAAAACCAGTAATAAAAACAAAAAAAACAACAACAACAAAAAACACTTTGCTTTAGAAGTAACACGAGTTAAAAAACTAAAGAAGGCCAATATGGAATGAATCATACGATAAGGTTATTTTCTTCCCTTATACGTACAGCACAGACCTGTAGTTAGTAGCAGTCTTTGAAAAGTAGCTTTATGTTTGTTTGTTTGATGTGACGTGTATGTGTTTTAACATATTTAAGTGTATCAATTACTCCAGATGTTTTCCATTTGTTTGCATAGAAAAGGCCAATATTGTCAGACACACTCGAATAATTATTCCAGGACAGTTTTTCATGTAAACTTGTTGCGCTTGGAAGAGACATGCAAAGAGGAAGAGTTTGTTTAACAAAATTTCTCTACTGGAGTGGACAGTGCAGAAATCAGATCAATGTGCATTCAAACAAAAATTGAGTCTCCGTGTCTGAACGTCACTAGTGTGATTAGAAAGAACAGGGCCTCGTATATACAGATTTAACCAAGACTTCCATTACACGTCAGGGGTGGCAGCATGCCCTCTCAAATATCTTCTGGAAATTACTTTTTAATCAGAAACTAGTCAATGTCAATCAAGCAGCATCATGTCAGACCACAGGAAGGGTGTTTTGAAACTACTGTACATAACAGCTTGTATACATCTTGTAGGAATGCATGTTGCATTGGTTTTTATTATCATTAATTGCTGTAGTATAAGCAAGTCTTTCAAAAATTCTTGAAGCAACGTGATTACAGATGCTTTAAAAAAGCTATTTGCTTAATTAAAATGATTTCAAATAAATTATAAAAACCACATGTTTAAATCAAGTTCCACTGTTGTATCTATTAGATTCATAATAGCTTTGAACTGATTAGGAAAACATGCCATTTAATATAGCTGTAAACTATCAAAAATGTAAGGTAGCCTTACATGTTGGCTGCTGTGTATTTGCTCTCAATGTATTAGAAATCTTAAGCCTAACTTCGTTTGTGTCCGAAACAGAAAGTCCATTCCAGCAGCACCAACTTTAAAGCACCTGCTTCTGGCACCAAGTTAGCAGCTCCCAGCATTTCCTGAATAAAAAGTTGTTTAAATTGTTTAAAGGAATACCCTTCCTAAAAGTGCACTCTGCTGAATCCAGAATTCACAGATTCTACTCAAAGGCTGAAGAACAGAGGGTTTGAGTTGTTGAAATTTTACTTGACCATTTCAGTCCATAGCAAAAAACGACCAGTGTTATTTATCACTGCCATGTTGGCACCACGGTTTCGGTTACTAACAATAAACACATTATACTTAAGAAAAGAAAACAAGAAACCTCACAGCCAAAATAGTACTACTTCAACTATTAAGTCTTGAGGATAACGTGGATGTGAGATTTTTTGCGCCAAAAAAAAAAAAAAAACGTTCATGAAATCCTCTCTGCCACAAAAGCCGGGGATGCAGAGATGTAAACAGTACAAGATGCGTCCGAGATGCCATTTAATTTCCACTGTACCATCCCCCACCTCCAGGTGAAAGAAAAAAGATAACGGTGTGATGGGAACTAGTGAACAACAGTGTAATAGTGTGTTCAAAGACGGTGATAACCCAGCAAACTATATCCAGTTAATTAAGCGATTGTTGCTAGTTATGCATGCGAGTCCACACAACAATCCCGACGAAGTGATTAACGGTACAGTCTCCGTCTGACCATTGAAGTAACGATAGCACTGATTTCATTTGAAAAGTAAAAATTGTCAAGAAAAAAAGTCTTGCCTAGGAAAAGCTGGTAATATCAACAAACAAACAGTCTGTTAATATAAACTAAAAAAGAAGCCGCAATATTATATCAAGTGTATACAGATGTAGCTCTGTTGTATTAGCTAGCAGGAGGGGGGCTAAACACACCTTTTATACACACCAATTTTCAGTACACTAGCATCCGCCATTTTGTTAGCATCGTGTCTGGACGAATGCTAATTGCGGCGTTAATTGAAAACCCTTTTTATGGGCGTGGAGATACTTATTACGAATTACTTATTACACATGCTTCGCAAATGTCAATAAAAATTATAATGGAATATAAAAAATTACGATTACATCCACGCTTCTGTTAGCAGGATGGCTAGCTAACCAGATAGGCCTGATGTGCTGTTCACGGCCTCTATGAGGCCGGGGCCTGAGAAGAAAAGGCCCATCCCTATGCGGCCTTTCTTTGACTATAAGGGATTAAATTAAAAATACCAATGCATGCAAAATAAAACAAAAAGCAACAGAAACACATGCAAAACAACCGCGGAAAACGAGTGGTCGAAGAGCACAAATAACCCGCATACCAGATTTGGGCTGCAGGGATGGCCTCTGTCCGCTCCACGGCTTCCCAGGCCGCCTGGTTTCCCCCAGACTCGGGCAGGACTCAGTCGGGAATTTTGTGTTATTTGGGCGGGCCGGAGAGGAGTAGAGAAGGAGGGGTTAGGGGGTTGTTTTTGGAGCACCGCTGAAACGAAGCAGGACGTCTAGAGCCAGATCTTGTCATGCTACAGCCCCCTGCTCCTCCAGCTCCGAGGCCGCCGTCAGCACGACACGTCACAGCCCGAGAGCGGCAGGAAAATGCGGAAGGGTTGAGGTGGAAATCACCCGAAAGGCACCAAACAGGCCATAATCTGAAGACTCCTGCTCAGTCGGGTTATGTCCAAACGTGCGTTGTGGTGTTAATTTTGATACGTTTAAAGTCAGACGAAGGTATCGCTCCATGATAGCTACTCCAATTCCCCGAATTAGCATATTGGTGAAGAAAAAGTGATCAAGGCACCAGTCACATAAAGAAAATACTCACTTTAATGAACAGTGACAGTTTCTAATCCACGGATTCCTCCATACTGTTGTGGGTTCAATCTACGGTGAAGCAGCTGTTTCTTCATGCCAATATAAAGGCTTCATTTTGTATAAATTCACATGTAAAAAAACTTTCTCTTTAAATCAAGAGGGTTCGACACAAATGTTCTTAATGGAATAAATCAAGTGAGGTAGAATCATTCGCTCTTGGGTTTGGCATTTTAATATAGCAAACACTGCTTTTAGATTTTGCAGAATTAACACCAATAGTTTATTCATGTGAATATAGCAACACAGGGACACAATACACTGATATCATTTAAGTCTATAATTGTTTTGCTTGTTTTCAATTAATATGTTAAATGCTTTTTAAAATAATTTTTATATATGATATTTTATTCCATTTATGATCACGTCATTGGGGGTTAAAAAACTTGCAGATGTAACTTAAAAAGTAACCTGAGTATAGGCCTAAACATTATTTGGTATGTATACCATTTAAGTCGAAGGATATTAAAACAATATGATGATTTACTGATTTGATTTAGAAATATGAAACCACAAAAAAAAAACAACAACAGCGCATCAGTAAGGAACCAATACCCAACAACTAGTTTTTATGTCACAAAATGAAAAGAAAGAGAATGATAAATCAGAAAATATAATACTCATTTGACATTTGATCTTTTTTTCTTAAAATATAACAACAGTGATAATGATAATATTAATTGCAGGTAATTATTCTCTTTTATGAACAACAATGAACATTTGATTGATGAACATATCGGTCAGGGCTTTACCAAATCTCTACCAAACAGACCCAGATTATAGCTGTGATAAAAATTGGGTGTGTTTCAGTGATCAGACAACTTTTTGGAGGTCATTTTCAGCAGCCCTTCTTTTTCAATCTCAAAAAGACGCCAGCCCTCCTCTGAGGAGAGATCAGATGCTCCTCTTCTCTTGTAGAACTCAATAGACTCCTTGTTGTTTTCTGCTACGATGAAATGCATACTACTGCAGCGGGTCTTCACTGCCGTCTGGGTAGGATAAAGACAAAGAAAAGGGTGCGAGACAGATGGGTAAATGAAGCACTGAATACACCTGCATTTATCTGACTTTCTCAACAGAGAGGCATTGATAGCACTCAGGCAGTTCTACCTCACTCAGCATCTTCAGAATCTGTGAACCAATTCCAAGACCTGGTGAAAGATTAACACACAAGGAAATTACATGTGTTGGTGTTAGTGTTGCGAAACTATGTAATCATTAACTTTTAACAACATAGTTTAGCTCAACAACCTTACCTCTAAACTCCTGCATTACAAAGAAGTCTTCAAGGTAGAGAAGCTTTCCAATCCAAGGGTCATAGGTGAAGTAGTACATTGCAAAGCCAATCACAGTGAACCCTTAAAGAGAACGTTGGCACTTAGGAGTTTAATTAATCAAACGAAGGAATGGTAAACTTTTCAAAGAGAAAGGTTTTAGTTTACCTTCTGGGCTCTGCTCCTTGGGGACTTCAGCAACCAAACAGTGGTAGAATGGATGATCACCAAAGCCGTCATCAAGTAGATCTAAATACAATTGAATATCATTGTTAAAAGACAAAAAACAACAACCAAAAAACATTGTTTTATATGAGGTAAAGAATGCAACCGAACCAAAGCACCTTTCTCAGTGAGTATCACCTTCTCCTCCATTTCCTCAAATTTAGCAAGTTCCTGAAAGGCAAAAATAAACCAGAGAGTTGAAGTTTAGACAGGAGGCGCAGCATCTGCAAAAGATTTGTTGTTAAATGGACCAGTGATGTGAAAACATCTGCTTTACCTTTATGAGTCGCAGGATATCAGCCACGTCCTTTGGTTCAGCTGGCCGTAATATGAAATTGGCCATTTTCTCTTTTTACCCTTTTTCCCTTTGCTAACTAGTCCTCTGAAAGTAAATAAAAGCAAAATTTGTTTCTTCATCCGCTCCTCAGGAGTTGACCCCCCGACAAAGAATTAAGAAACCAGCATTAACGGAACTACATCGGCCGACTCAGAGCTGTACAATGGCGACAGAAATCTTGCTTTTATGTGTCCTTAGAAGAGCCACACCTGCTACTAAACCTAAAAATGGACATACATCCTGTTTCTTTTTCTTCTCTGGCAACTTATCTTTGTGCTGATCAGTTTATTCCCTTGTATATTGATAAGAAGGTGAATATTAACCCAGCCTGTATGTCAGCTGCACAGAATAACCCACATTTGAAAACAAGGTGTGTGAATTATTGACTTTTTGTACAAAAACACTATACAGTGTACATGCTTATTTATCTGCTCTGAGGCCGTCATTATCTGAGACAACAGCTTTGTGGATCTGATTGCTCCTTTAATATGGGAACAGACTGAAATATCCCAGGTTGTAAAAAGCCAGGAGTAAGTAGTGCGTAGAGTCATTTATTGTCACATCTTTTCCTTGGCAGTAGTTTAATGTGCCAAATTGTCTGCAGCAGGAATCAAATCACAAACCTCCCCTCAGACCTAGGATCTATGCTTTTGCATGTCTGCTGCAGTAGGTAGATGGAACTAGTTTAAATAACAGCACATTGTCTTAAAAGAAAACCAGCTTTCAGTGTCAATTCCTTCTATAAAGCTCTGACATTTCTCCAATCTCATTCATTAGACAGTCTGTTAATTGTTTTGTTCACTATACGCATATATCTTATGTTCTTACCATTTATTATCTAGCAAATGAAAACAAAAGACGAAAAAAGGCAGTGTTGGATGCCCTTGATAAGTATATCTTACATATCTATCTTCATCTTTGGAATCTGTTACAGTCTGATTGAGCTAAGTTTAATAGTAAATTCTTTTTCTGGGGGAGATAAGTGCACTATTTGTTTAAGAAAACAGTTGCTATCATATATAAACTTAAAACACCAGACAAGACTCAATGTAGAAAAACATTTTTATTTGACATGGCTGGATTTCACAGACTGGGATCACAGAAACGCAGTTCAGTTCAGTTTATCAAAATACTTCAGCTTGCCTGAGGGGTCAGGAATGATCTGTGGGAGGAAAAAATGGATGGATAGTACTTTCTTTTTTTTTTTACATTAAAGGAATACGCACAAAGACAGTGAGCATGTCTGGTTTTTCTCTTTTGTTCTTTTAGACAAACACATCCTTTTGAGGGCACGTTTTTGGAAACTCAAGCCCACAGCAATTATTCATTTTTATGTCTGTCAAAGCTTGTCATTTAGAAGGACGTTTGTGAAAAATATAAATCTATCTAAGATCTCCTGTTTGCGACCGAAAATACTGGTTAGTTACTCACCGTGTCGCTGCCTGGTTTCCATCCTGCTGGACACACTGTGTAAAAAAATAAAGGAAGGTATTGAAGTAACTGTCCATCTCTTTACCCGTCAACTACTTCTTTTTGATAGACGACAAACATAAAAATTTACCTTCTCCATGTTTGTCTGTGTACTGGAAGGCTTGGACAAGCCGCAGAGTCTCATCCACTGATCTGCCCACCGGAAGATCATTCATGGTGATCTGCCTCAGAATACCTTTGTCATCGATAATGAAGAGACCCCTGACAGAGACATGAACAAGCCAGGCATAGGTTACAGAGTGATTTAGGGAACTTACCTCTACACCAAAGCCTCAGTGTTAACACAACATGTTTCTTTAATCTGAGACCCCTTTTTCAAACCTTAATAAAAGTCAGAAATGTAAAGGTGAATGCTGACCTCAGAGTGTGCCCCTGATCCTCCAGGTAGACTCCATAGTCTTTTGAGATCTGGTGAGTTAGGTCAGACAGTAGAGGGATTTTCATTTGTCCAAGACCACCCTGTTTCCTGGGGGTATTGATCCTGTTAAAAACAGAAAATGTGAGCAAATCAACTCCTCTGGAACTTATTTAGCCACTGAGGAGTGTATTTGCTATTAAGTTCAAATAAATTTGTAAAGAGCAAAAATATTCAAAACGGAAAGCTCTGAATGTCTTTGTTCTTGTATTGGAGGCAGCAATAATACCATGCCAAGTGGGTAAACTGAGAGTCCACTGAGCAGGCGACCACCTCTGTATTGATGGCCTGAAACTCGTGCACACGGTCGCTGAATGCAATGATCTCAGTGGGGCAGACAAACGTGCTGCGAAGACAAACAAGATACAAGAATATACTCTACTTCCAAATCAGGAAGAACAAATTGACGTGCACTTCAGAAGGTACTTACAAGTCCAAGGGATAGAAGAAAAAGACGAGATATTTTCCTCTGTAATCGGACAGCTTCACCTCTTTGAATTCACCGTTGATGACAGCTGTTCCCTCCCAGTGTGGCGCAGCCTTTGAAACTGAAAACGAATAAAAAACAGAGAAAGAGATAGATTCACTGATGAAAACCCTTAAAAAAAAATTTCTCAACCTGTTTGAGGCTAAATATAACCTAAATCTCTTGTTTGCATGGTTAAGATACTTGTTATTTTTGTAAAGATCACAGGGTAATGATCAGCCATGCACTAAATCTGGCTTTTTTTCATCCATTTGAATGACTTATCCCAAAAGAAAAATGTGCACCTTAACTGCAAAGGCTGGTTTATAAATCTTGACAGGAATGGAGAGTGACAGCTCTCCAACATGAGTTCTTTTGAAATCTCATCCTACCATATGTCAGAGAAACAAATGTAATCCAGGGTCAAGAGCCATAATGTTAGTGATAACGACTGACCCAGAGACATGCTGCATCATACACCATCGTCTGAGTTTAACTAAGCTGTTTTAAAGTGTCTTGTTTTTGTTAAGTAAGTGTCTGCAGGTTTGTACATAGTGCTGGAGTGCTGGGGCGGTTTTGGACGCTTTCCAATCCACTTCAAAGAATGACGTGTCCTCCTCAGGTTTAAAGTTAGGATCAAAATAACCTCTTAAAACTACATGTGGATTAAAGCACGTTTAACAGCCACTTGAGCAGTGTCAGGGCGCATATGCTGTCCTGACATACTGCAGATGTGCATGCGCACAGAGGGGGTAACGCTGGGCTAAACAAACCAGCAACCTAAAATATGCAAATATTAATTTGCAATCCTTGGCTGAAATCACGACAGGGACTCACTTTTGGCTTTGCTGAGGTGCAGGGAATGGTCAGACACGGGAACGCGGAAAGCCTCTCCAGGATAGACGTGTCCTCCCGCGTAGTTGTGACACTGGGAGTTTTTCACCTGACCCCCATCCTGTGCAGATGTGGCCGTGCAGAGGAGCAGAAGCCAGGCACCGAGAGCACAAAGGAGCTCCTTCTTCACATCGCGGTGGAAACTCGACTCCATTGCACCGTCTCACAGAGAGCACGTAGCCACTAACTGGAAATGCAGACTTTTGGCAGGAATTAAGCCTGTTTCCCTTTTCTTCTTCTTCATTCGAGGATGTTCGGTAGCATACCTCGTTATTCCTGCAGTACTGCCATCTTCTGGAGTTAATTAAGCATCGGCGTCGTTCCACAGTTTCAGGTTAGCTTCCCCTTAAAACTTCAAGTCTTACTAATGGACCGTGAAAGAATGACACCGACTATTTCCTGGGGGTAAAACAAACTGACAGATATGTACTTATTCTTTTATCGGCTTAAGGTTTCATGTTCAACATAAAAAGGGAATATAAAAATGTTATCCATTACCAAAAATAATTGGCATAATTATCTCAGACCAATAACAGTGCTCTCTTCAGGTTCACAACACGGACTGAAAACAATCAGAGCTTAACAAGCTGCTAATTACTCATTAGCCAATCAGAGACCAGCATATGATTATATGAAGCGTTCTGTATTGTTAGAAAAATAATCATAATTCTAAATTTCAAGTTACAATGGTGTCACATAATTAAGATAAAATTCATTACTAAAATGTCAAAGATTAAGCATTTTCTGGGGTATTGGAAATCTGAGACCAGATTATCCATATTATCTAACTACTGAAACCTAATCTTATTTTAAATAAGATTTAAGCAAATTGATTTACTGGTGATATACAAATGTGTAAAGGCATGTCAGTTTTCTATTTACTGTGCAGTATCTACAATTTCCTGAAACTATTACTCCACTGGAAACAAATTCAAACCGACCACCGTCCTCCATCCCTTTAAGGGTTTTCAAGGGAAAAAGGGATCACAGTATGTAGTGATAAATATAGTATTCACCAATATGTACATTAGACATTTTTTCTGAGAGGATTACAATGTATTTTTCTAATTTTTTCAACTGGTCTGAGAAATTTCTTTAAAAAGACAAAAGGTTTTTCTACGAGCAATGCATGCCGATATGCTGCCAGCTAGGGAACATTTCCCTTACACAACAAAGAAAGAGCTGTACTTTATTAAAGAGGAGACTGAAATTAAAAAACAACCTGTATGTACTTGAGAGCTGTTGATAAACCTTACAAAGTGAAACACACCAGAAACACAGTGCTGCTAAATTAATGACACCAAACCCAACGTCTTTCATAGATTTGGAAAGTTTATTGTTAAACTTTGCATTTGAAGGTCCCCCAATTAACCCTTAACAATTATAGAATGAATGAGCTTCTCAGTGTAACTTAAAGATACACAAGTATCTATATAACAACATAAAAGTGAACACCCTTGCACAGTTTACAGTGAGACAAAGATGGCATCTTTCAGGCACGTTTTGTTTGGCATTTAGATGCTTTAAACACCAGGATTTTGTAACATGGAGGTTAAAAAAAAGACTGGGACTTGAAGTCAAATTAAATAATTTATCATGTACATAGTTTTTTTTTTTTTACAAGGCAGTATGTTTGTTTTTTTAGGATAAGGAGTGTCAGTTATTTTTTATTGATAAATCTTCAAAATGGGTTAACATCAGACAAGCGAATAAAAAAAATCTTCCCATATCACAAGGGGCCATATTTACTAAAAGTTTTTTATGTTGAAGAATGTTGGGTGCTCCAGAAGTCAAATAAACTTTAAAACTTTACGGTCAACTGTGTGCAAATGGTGCTGAGAGTAAATTTAGATGTGAGCAATAGAGATATTTTCAGTTATTTTGCCTCTCAGAACATCTTTGCAAGCGTGACCCTTCCTATTGAAAAGTCAACAATTTGCTGATGGTTAAAGCTCTGTGATCAAAACATTTGTTTATGGAACAGTATGTCATGTGGGGAAAAGGGGAGTTTACATATCACTGGGCAGATGGAGCCATCCAGGGAAACCATGAAGCGGTTTCAGCTGACAGACTTCAGCTTTGCCCATGGGTTGGTGCCGCGCACCTCGAGGGGCGAGTTGTTGTGAAAGATATGGTTGCAGAGTTCTTCCAGAGGTGGTTCAGGATCTGTGGTGGCAAACTGAGAGGCATCTTCGATTTCCTTCCTCACTTCCACATCGATCTCCTGCAGACACAAAACAGGTGAGATGGAGTTGTCCCACTGAACACTGCATCCACACACTCTGGGAAATTAAGTTATGTAGGTGTTCCGTTAACATTCTACATATATTCAACTTATATATCAACACTGAAAATATGTTTTTGTGAAAGCACAACATCACTGCACTGGAGACCAGGAAAAACATGTGCAATTCAAAGAGCATTGAACAAACATTTATAGTTGATATCTACGAAAAATGTTCTGCAGACTTTTCCACTGCAAAAAAGATAAAGATTTGAACCTATTACTTGAAGTTTGTCTTCCGCTTATGTTTTTCTACAACTATTATAATTAATTGACTGGTTCCAAAAGGCTCTACCTTTTAGTTCAAAATAGCAGAAAAGTACATGAAATTTTTAAACTGGACTATGTGGGGCAGTCTTCTGCTTTAGAGGATGGAACTATTTGCTACCTTGAACTCCTCTATGTTGGCCATGTTGTTGCTGAGGAGGCGATCCTTCAGCATGGAGATGGGGTCGCTCTTACTTCGGACTTCCTGGATCTCCTCGCGTGTGCGGTAGCTGCAAGGGCAGAGATTGGTGCAGGGGTATGGTAGGGATGCACTAACATAATCATCTCTTTACTCATTCTGTGCAAGCATCTGGAAATCATGATTACCAGAATTTTTATTAATTTTTTAGATAAACGATTAGAGCTTATCATGCAAAGTCATTGTAATTATGTTAGTATGTTGTTTCATTTTTGTGCTCCAGTAAAAGTCGATTTTTTAGAGATTTAAGATGCTTGGCATCTAGATTTCATCAATAATTAAATACAGATATTAATCTCATACAGCTGATACCGATATTAGTAGTATGCTCAGCTCATGCACAGACTTTGGTCAGGCCACTAAAGAGGGAGGAGGAGTACAGAAAAACTACTGCGGAACACTGGAAGAAGCAAGGGGCAGCAGCACAGAGAGAATAACATTTATATGTTCATTTAACAATGCTGGTATGACAAGAAAGTCACTGAACACTGTGATCCTTTACCTGACGCCTGGATCACTCATACTGTGTCCATGGTAGCGGTAGGTTTGGAGCTCCATGAGAATAGGGCCCTGGTGAACAATTCGAAGAGAAAAAAAATGAAAAAAACAAAATCAACAAATTATCAGGACTAAGTGATCACTGATTTTTTTTGTATAGTTTGTTTTTTAGCTCACCTTTCCAGAACGGCAGTGATCAGCTGCAAATCTGGTAGCTTCCCGAACACACAGAATATCCATGCCATCCACCTGAGGGAGAGAAAACACACAGTTTATACTGACAGCATAACCAAATAAAAACAGACAATTCCCTGTTGCTACATGCAGCCAAACACATAATCTTAAGGTTTGGATGGTATGAGGTAGGTATTCTGTACTAAGACAACTAAAGCTAGGAACTGATGTACAATTAAGTAAAATTTCTGATCATTAATAATGTTTCTTTATAACTTTTCTATGTCAATTTAATGTCTGAATGGCTGAGTTACCATAGCAATAAAGAGCCAATTCCATTTTTTTTCATCCCAGTCCTTGTCAAAAAAATTTAACAGCCCTCTACACCTTTTCAAAAGACTGCTATATGATTAAAATAGTAAAAGATGTGTAAAGAAAAAATATAGTTCTATATTCTACAGTTTTGACATTTCACAAGACAAAACAGGCAACATCAAACCTTAAGTGATGATATATCAACAATATAATTTATTCATGATAAAATTTGCGGAAAGATGTGGAAAGACTTGAGTAAAAAATGTACCCTGAGACCAGGAATGAATTCTCCCCTCTTGAAGTAGTCTGTGCTGGCCGCAGCTCGCTCCACAGAGGTGCCCATGCCGTACCTGTTGTTCTCACAGATGAAGATGACGGGCAACTTCCAGAGAGCTGCCATGTTGTAGGTTTCAAAAATCTGACCCTGTTAAACATATAGTAGATTCTATTAGTGTGGAAAAAAAGGTAACAGACAAAGTTAAGCACATAAGTAATCCGACCAGATTTGACAAATCCTGTATCAAATTTGGAAGTTGAACAGGGGAAATTTGAGTACAAGATTAGAGAAAAATACACAGAAATATCTAACTTTATTTAGCTGGTAATAAATTCTCAGAAATTGCAAGTACCAATAACATGGATTAACCATGGATATAACCCTCGTAGCACACAGTAAATCCACATCTAAACCCTTAGTGTTACAAGAAAAAAAGAACAAAAAAAAAAGACTTGTCTGCAGTGATTTCTCCTCCTTACCTGGTTGGCAGCACCGTCACCATAAAGACAGACGCACAGTTGATTGTTTTCTTGATATTTGCAGGCCAGAGCCACTCCAGCACCCAGAGGAACCTT